AGAAATGCAACCAGATTCAGAAAACGATGTAGAATAAGGTTTATCATCTGATGTCAGATGGATCTTGACTGAAAGCAAGAAAATACCAGAAAGATGTTTACTTGGGTTTTATTGGTTGTGCAAAGGCAGACATGCAAACAGAACAAGGAAATCATGCCTGGCTTAAAATCATGAAGTATGTGTCTCCAGGTTGTATACTTTACCATACTTAATCAATCTGTTTGCTGAGCAGATATAAAAGCTGCTGTAATAGATGAAGAACACAACATCAGGATTGGCAGGCTTTTCCCCCTGCAGTATCCAGAGGACAAAATGTGGCTTGTTGAAAGCATGGAAGACTTGGAACCCTTGCTGATGAAGATCACAGACTACAGCTTTCAGTACTGAGTATATATAATTCCATTTTAAAAGACCCAACTCCTCACAACTGGACCAGTAAATATCATGATAAGCAAAGAAAGATTTACATAAGTTGTCAAGGATTTAATTTGCTTAGATCCACAATCAAAGTTAATGGGAGCTGCAGTCAAGAAATTAAAAGATATCTTATATTGGACAACTTTTCTGCCTAAGACCTCATTAAAGTGTTGAAGAGCAGTGCACTAAGCGGGTCCTGACTCTAGACTTAGTATTTTCAATCAACTCATAAGCATGTGAAAGCTGAACAATGAAGAAAGATGAAAGGATATTTGATGCATTTGAATTATGGTGTTGGCAAAGAATATTGAGTATATCAGGGCGTGCCAGAAGAACAGATCTGGACTGGAAACAACTACAGCCAGGATGCTCCTTGGAAGCAAGATGGCAAGACTTTGTCTCACACATTTTGGACATGTTATCTGGAAAAGGGCACCATGCTTGGTAAAATATAAGGTCAGCTGAGGAGAAGAAGACCCTTAACCACAGGGACTGACACAGGGGCTGCAGCAATGGGCATGTGACAACAGTGGTGATGATGGCACGGGACCAGTCAGTGGTTTGTTCTATTGTACATAAGGTTGATATGACTCCGAATCAAGTGGATAGCACCTAGCAACCAACATTCAATATCGTGCTGGAAATCTTAACCAAAGCTATAAACTAAGAAAGGGAAATTTAAAGTATGCAAATTAGCAAGGAAGAAGTTAAATTACTTTTGCAGTTGATAAGATCCTATACGGAGAAAATTCCAAAGACTCCGCAAAAAAAAAAAAAATTGCTGGAACTAATACATTCAACACAGTGACAAATACAAGATCAAGATACAATAGTTAGTCAGATTCATTTACACCAACAAAGAGAACTCTGAATTCAGGAAGGTGGTATCATTTACAGCAGCCACGCAAAATGTGAAATACTTAAAGATAAACCTAGCCAGAGAAACAAAAGATCTGTACAAAGAAAACTACAAAGCACTACAAGAAAATGAGACCTACATACTTACCGACATCAAATCAATAGGAAGACAACATTGTGAAACTGTCAACAGTGATACACACAGAATGCAACTGATAGAGCTTCTAACATCATTCTCTAATGAGATGAAAAACCTAATCACCATCACTGAAAAACAAAGGAGGCCTCATATTTCCTGATCGTAAAGCCTACTTTCCAGTCACCATAGTCCAAACAGCCTGGTACGAGTATAATGACAAGACACAGAAAAGTAGAACAAAATTGATAACTTAGAAGTAAAACCGCCGCCTATGTGCAGCTGATCAAAGGATTAAAACACATTTGACAAAGGGTCAAAACACACTAAATGGGTAACAGATAAGTTTTCTTTAACAAGTGGTACTGGAAAAACCGGACACCCACTTCCAGAAAAATGAAACAGAACCCCTAACGCACACCATACACAAAAACTACCTCCAAACGGATCAGAAACCTAAATGTAAAGTCTAAAAATATAAGACCATCAATGAGAAAAGAGGGGAAAACTTATTGTTAGATGCTGTAAAGTCAGTTTTAATTCACAACGACTAAGTATACAACAGAACGAAACGCTTCTTGGTCTTGTACCACCCTTGCAATTGCTGTTGTTTTAGCCCATTGTTACACCTTAAGGTCTTCCTCTTTTTCATTGACCCTCTACTTTACCAAGCATGCCATCTTTCTCCAGGGATTGGTCTCTCCTAATAACATGTCCAAAGTACATGTGACGTCTTGTGACTGTCACTTCTGAGAATTGTCTGTTCTTCCAAGTCAGATTTGCTTGTTCTTCTGGCAGCCTAAGGGCTTAATGCGTGGCATAAATAAACATAACTGAAAACACACCATAGAAGACCAACTAGGTAACTGAACCTCCTAAAATTAGACAATTATGTGCATCCAAATATATCATCAAGAGTAGAAAGAGAAATAACAAATAGGAAAAATAAATTTTAGCACTGACTAATCAGACAAGAGATTACTCTCTGAAATATATAGAAAACTCCAATACATCAACAAGAAACAAGTAACCCAATTAAGAAATGGGCAGAGGACCTGGAGAGGCATTTCACCATTTAGGCAGCCAATAAGCTTATAAAGAAATGCTAGCGGTTAGTAGTCATTATACATGCAAATCAAAACGATGAGGTCATGGCCTTGCCCTAGTATTAATAGCAAAGTTCAAACAGAAAACAAATGTTGGTGAGGAAAGACTAGGGCGCTGACATTGCTGGAAGGACTGTAAAATGGTGCCACCACAATGGAAAGCAGTATGGCGCTTCCTTTAAAAATTGGAAATAGAAATACAGTACGACTCAGTAACCCCTCTATTTAGCATCTACCATATATACTCGTGTATAAGCCAAGTTTTTCATCACATTAAAAAAAATTATTGGGGGCACTTACATCTCATCACAATCCATACATTCATCCAGTGTCAAGCACATTTGTCACCATGACTTTCAAAGCATTCTCTTCCCTCTTGAGCCGGATATCAGCACCCCATTTCTTCCCCCTTCCTCCCCATGAACAGATTTATTTCCATATCTTACATCGTCCTCCGTCGCCCCTCACCTACATTTCCATTATTTGTCCCCCTAGGAGGGGATTATAGGTTGATCCTTTTGATCGATTCTCCCTTTCTGCCCCCACCCTCCCCTAATCCTCCTGGTATCTCTACTTATTGTTGGCCCTGAGGGGTTTATCTATCCTGGATTCCCTCTTCTGCAGGCTCCTGTCCATAGCAGTGTGCATCCTCTGGTCTAATCTAATTTGTAAGGTAGAATTGAGGTCGATATTGGGGTAAAGGAAGCACCAACGAACTAGAGGAAAGTGTGTTTCATCGGTGCTATACTGCACCCTGACTGGCTCATCTCTTCCCTGTGACCCCTCTGTGATATATCCAATTGTCTACAGATGGGCATTGAATCTCCACTCCATTCTCCCCAAACCCCCTCACATTGGGTATGATTTTGATCTTAGATGCCTGACACCTGATCCCATCATGACCTCATGATCACACAGACTGGTGTGCTTCTTCCATGTGTGCTTCGTTGCTTCTGAGCCAGATAGCCACTTGTTTATCTTCAAGCCTTTAAGAGCCCAGACGCTGTATCTTTGATAGCCAGACACCATCAGCTTTCTTCACATTTGCTTACGGTGCACCCATTTTGTCTTCAGTGATCAGATTAGAAAGGTGAGCATCACAGAATGCTGGATTGTTAGAACAAAGTGTTCTTGTGTTGAGGGAGCACTTGAGTTGAGGCCCAATGTCCATCTGCAACCTTAATTCTCAATATATAGATGAGTACATAGTTCTATTCCCCTTGTTATATATTTACATATGTACATGCCTCTATTTAGACCTCTATAAATGCCTTTTGTCTCCTAGTTCTTTCCTCTATTTCCTTTTACTTTCCTCATGTCTCACCATCATGTTCGTCCTTCATTTGGCTTTAGTAATTCCTCACTGCTACATTGCCCTTGATTAAGCCCCACTGAGCATCCTACAACCTTCCTTCCATTGATTTTAGTTCACTTGTTTCCTTTCAGCACATTTTTAATGCAGTTTATGTGGTAAAATTAGGTGCCTAAGCTGATAATCTGGTCGGCTTATACTCAAATATATACGAGTAATAAGAGCTGCCACAAGGATATAGATATGTACCTCCATATTGACCACAATATTCATAATAGGAAAAAGATGGAAACCAAGATGCTCTTCAATGAAAGAATGGATAAACTATGGCACATACACACAATTGAATATTACATAACACTGAAGAATAGCAATGAATCTGAAATGACTAATAGCATGGGTGAACTTGGAGGACATTGTGCTGAATGAAATAGTCAATCAGAGAATGATAAATATTGCATAAGAACACTATTATAGACTCAAAAGAAAGTTTTCACACCAAAAAAAACTTTGAGTTACAGGGGTAGGAGGAAGAGAAGGTAAGTCACTGACTAAAGGGTTAACTTGGGGTGGGAGGGGTAGAAGGCAAAAAGAGACATAAAAGGACTAAGACTGTACCCATCCAAGGCGAAAATTTTGTGAGACCCAGAAAAATCACATAGTTCTGTCAAGTTATCTAACAAGGTCTGAGAGTATCGTCTGAGTGTGAATATGATGTGCTTTTATGTACTTTTCAAATTTATACAATAACTTACACGTCTCCTCTCCTCTATTATTGTTATTTAATATGGAAATGTTTCATTAAAAAAAATCAGTGCAGTGGACAATTTAAGTGGCCAAATGAGTGGGAATAATAGTGTATGCTAACACCAAGGGTAGGGGTTCAAATCCGTCAGTCATTTTGCAGAATAGTGAGGCTATCTGCTCTCATAGATATTTTTAAAGTCCTGGAAACTCAAAAGGGACAGTTCTACTCTGTCCTATAAGGCTATGAGTAGAAATCAATTCAATAGCAGTGAGTGTACGGGAAGGATTTAAGAAAGGATATGGAGGGAAGAAAAAAAGCTAATTGAAAAATAATGACCCCAAATCTCTAAAAAACTATAAATTTGAAAATCCAACAATCTCCCAATCAGAAGAAAATTGAAAAAATAAAATTACACCAAAAGGATCATAATAAATTGCTTCAATCAGTAACAAACAGAAACCTTAAGAGCAGCCAGATAACAGTGACACATTACACAAGAGAACAAAGAATACAGGTGTCTTCTTGTTGAAAACATAATAAAATACAACATCCACTACACTGGTAAAAATTTGTAATAGAAAATTAACATGTGTTAAAGATGATGTGAAACAAAGGTAATTCACATAGTGCTGGGAGGAGTGTAAACTGGTACATTCAGTTTTCAGAATTTGGCATCATCTTGTAAAGATGAAGACACCCAGACATGACCAAGTAATTTAATTCACAGACATAAAATATTTAAAGCAACATGATTTGCAATAGCAAAAAAAAAAAAACCCAAAATGTTCAGCACCAGATAAATGATTAAAGAAATAGTGTCACACGATGAAACAACAAAATAAATGACTCACAAAAAATACTAAATTGAAAAACAGCAGGCTCCAGAAGTAACATACATCATGATGCCATTTATATAAACATTCAAAAACATACAGAACAATGTTTCACTTATGGATACATATGTATGTTGTAAAAGTATAAAAACCAGCAAGGAATAACAAACAAAAAATTCAGAATAATGACTTGCGTGAGAAAATACATCAGAGATTTCCAAAATGCAGGTTAAGACCCCAGTTCTTAAACTGGCTGATGGATACACAGGTATTTATTCTTCTTTATACCTTATATATTCATGCTTATTATTTCTTACAGGTGTGAAATATTTCATAAAAAAAAAACAGAAAATGTGGCTTTAAAAGTGAAGGCTACCATTTATATGTAACAATAAATGTAAAAAAATATACAAAGAAAATGTTAAATTCTTTGTCTTTCAGTGCCCTACATTATCAACATTAATGGGCCTCATCCCGCATATGAAAATAATAATAGTAACAGAGCCTTGAACTGCTTTGACACACAATCAGAACCCCTGCCTTCTTGATACTCTAAATTAGATGAGTAAATACACGAGCCACTCAATTGTGATTCTTTATCTTTCATCTGTACTTAGATTTTTCTTTATCTTTGGATTTCTTTGGACTTCTGCTTCGGTCTCTCTTTTTACTCCTTTCTCTTTCATAGGCATCTGTGGGGTATTTGGATTTGTGGCTGGTACCATAGTGGCCATCCCTCTCCCGAGACCGGCTCCGACTCCGGTTTTGATGGCGCTCTCTCTTTTCGTTCTTCTGTTTCTCCCAACAGCTCTCTTCTTCTTCATAGTGACCAAAGCCCATTTCCCTATAGATATCCTACCAAAGGGACAGAGAGAAGAGCATTAAACATGAACCTGTAAAAAAAGAACAATTTTGTGGGCATTCGATGACAAGTCTACCATTAATAAGTTGTAACAGTTCAAATTTGGACATTCTCATTCATAACAAGAATCTCCCAAATTAAAAAGGAAAAAAACAATTCAGAAAAAAGCTTTCTTTTTTCTTTTTTCAGTCATCTCATCTATTATTTCAACTGAAATCAAGAATCACATTTAAAATAAAAAAAAAATAACCCAATTAAAATGAGGATAAGTAGGTTTTAGCATAAATGGCAAGGCTGGTTAAAAAATAAAATAAATAATTTAAAATGCTGGTTGTGTCTCAGGGAGGAGACGAGCCAGTCAGGGTGCAGTACAGCACTGATGAAACATACAACTTTCCTTTAGTTCTTTAATGCTTCCTCCTCCCCCCCACCCCCCGCCCCCACCATCATGGCCCCAATTCTACCTTACAAATCTGGCTGGACCAGAGCATGTACACAGGTACAGATAAGAGCTGGAAACACAGGGAATCCAGGACAGATAAACCCTCAGGACCAAGACTGAGAGTAGCAATTCCAGGAGGGAAAGGGAAAGAAGTGGGGAGTAAGAAGGAACCGATCACAATGATCTACATATAACCCTCTCCCAGGGGGAAAGACAACAGAAAAGTGGGTGAAGGGAGACATCGGTCAGTGTAAGACATGAAAAAATAATAATAATTTATAAATTATCAAGGATTCCTGAGGGAGGGAAGGGAGGAGAAAAAAATGAGAAGCTGATACCAAGGGCTCTTCGTAGAAGGAAAATGTTTTGAAAATGATAATGGCAACAAATGTACAAATGTGCTTGACACAATGAATGGACGTATTGATTGTGATCAGAGTTGTATGAACTCCCAATAAAATGATTAAATGCTGGCTGTGGTGGTCATCTCTCCCCATTCTCTGACTCCTTGCAACAGCAATGGAATGACTAAAGTTCCCAAAATGACAGCATGAGATAAATAACATAATAGGAAAGAGGTCTTCAGAGATAGAGTCGATTAGTCTAAAAAGAAAAGAGATTGTACATACTTTAGCCTGTAAGATTAAATTTTAAAATGCTTTCTTCCATAATAGATCCTTATCCTATCTTCAAATAAATAATCTATGTTTTTAGACTGGGTTTATATAAGCTTTTGTCAACTATTTATTAAAAATAAATTAAGAAGAAGGAAAAAGTTATTGCCCCAAAGACATAAGTACAATTAATTCTATTCTCAATAATTAAATAATCATGGTAATTTTCCCAGAGAGAAGAGAACTAGTTACAAGAGAGCTAGTTACAAGTTTCTTTTCCTGTCCAAAGAAAACAAGTACCTCAGCAGCTGGCTCAAATCTAAGGAGACCAGAGTCATTGCTTTTTCATGAGATTGTTCATAAAAGTCACCTTTCCTAAGAAATAAACCCACATGTTCTCTAATTCTGATGCTTGAATTCTCAAGGATGCCAACTCTACCAGCACAGATGTTATCATCATAGATGGAGATGTCAAGACTTTATGATGGACACATATTGCACATCCTAAACAAATGATTCATTCTTTTTATGCTGTCTACATACTATGATATATACTTGGCTTACTGTTTGCAGTATGTGGAAAAATATCTAACATGATTGCTATAATCATAATCACACTGTTGAATACAGCATTATAAAATGATGATCTTCTACAAGGCCCCAATTGTTTTTGGCATTCTATAAGTCTTTAAGGTTGAAAAACAAACAGGTATTTTGATTTGACCCTTTATCAGCTATTCTCTGGTAAAAGATGACATTCTTATAAAAAATTATTGTTCATGCTTCTTGTAAAATATTTCAAAATGTAAATATTTCTATTCTGTCTGCACAAATCCATTACTCAGTCAATTCCAACTCACAGCAATCCTATAGGGCAATGTACAACTCCCTCAAAGCCATAATCTTTATAGAAGCGGACTGCCATATCTTTCTCCAGAAGGGCTGGTGGGTTTGAACCACTTATCTCTCCATTAATAGCCACACATTTAACCATCAGGGGTCCTCTGTCTGTATACATAGTGATTATTTATCAGTTGAGTAAATAAATTTTTAAAATTCAAGATACTTTGTATATAACAATTCCATAAAATCCTCAACACATTACTATACAAACAGGCATTTAAACACTTTGAATGTTTACAATTAAAAATAATAATAAAGGTACTTGATTCTTTGAAAATGTTGAGGAAGCTGTAAATCTGGAATGAACCAAAACCTCAATGCTATTGCTATTTGGCGGGGTTGGGAGGAAGAGGGAGAACAGCTTACCAGGTAAACAATACAAGGTTTGATATTAGGATGATTTGGGTGGAAATGGTCTTGGCCATTTAGGAAATGTGTCAGATATAAAATGCTCTTGACTAGATTTATAAGGGAAGGTTTTGTGAAGGCATTAGGACTTGAGATGAACCTTAAAGGATGAGTGGGTTTGGGTTTGAACTGGCTACAAGGCTGATGTAACATACGTGAAAACTGAAAAATAAAGGGAAATTATGTATGTAGGTGAAAAGATTAGGTAACTGGATGAAGTCCCATCAGAATGATGCTCTCGGAGTGCAGCAGATGCAATACAGAAATGGAAGCTCAAGGGATCTATATAGGCTGGATACACCGGAGTGCTAACCTGACGTACAAAACTGAAGGGGAGCACCTGACTGAATCAACAACAGTCTAAATGGGCTAGCTCTCCCACCAACTAGGACAATTAAGGACTTTTGTGGTCAATATTGTCTTATCTAAGAGAAGGAATTAAATTCAATAAACTCTACATCCTTTGTAAAATGGATTTTCAGATTGTATATATTTAATACATAGGAAAAGATGGACAAACTAGTTTGTGACCCAAAAGACAAATAATACAAAGTAGCCAATTAAAAGCAACCAATTTATCCTAGCAAATGACCTGATGTAAAGCAGCCAAAAAAGTCCACTCTTAATTAAAAATTATTCTTGCTCAGGTCTCTGACACAAAAAGCAAGATTTCATCTAAAGACTTACAATATCAAAGATTTCCTTAAATCTAAACCAAAAAATTGATATTGATTTGTTAAAATAACACCAAAACTTAAGTCTCACGTTATGTGAAAACTGAACACTGGCAAAGACAAAGCAGAGGAATCACAAACAACCAGAATGCTCTCTGTCAGTCCTATCAGCCAGGCTGCCTCCAGCTGAACACTATTTCCTGCAGTCCCTGCAGCCCCTGCAAACCTCACACAAGACAAGAACCATCTTTGGAAATAAGACACAAGGTGGAAAACTTAAATTTTCAAATTGAACAGTGAGGCTGTAATTTATGAAAAAAAAAAAAGAGTTGAAAGACATGACTTAAACATTAATAGGAAACAAGACAGACTAACCAATAGGAAATTTTGAATTACTGCCTTGTACTGAAATTTCTCTTTAATGATATTTTTTAGATTAAAATCAAAAGGGAAATAAATAATCAGAATTTTTTAAAATTGGGGCCTGCTAAAATCTTGAGTTCTGGAGCTGACTTTTCTTGGTAGGAAAAAAGTATGGGAAATTGCATAGCCATATTATTAAATCAAAGTATAAATAAAAAGCATGTACCTTAACACACTTAGAAGGGAGAAAATAAATCTATGAGATAATTATTAATCATAATTTAATAATTTCCTAATTGTCAGCTGCCTTGAAATTACTTTAAAATACTAGCGAGCATTCTTCCCACAACTACTGGTCTTCACTCTGCACAAATAAGAATGGTAGTGACCACGTTAATGTGGTTTTCAATGACTTCACATGGCAGGGTCAGAGTCCCAGGGTGGTGAGGCCAGACATGTAAAATACAGCCCATCTTTGAATTTGTATGGATTTCTGATTATCTCAAAAACACTAATGTTTATTCTCAGACCTAAATTCAGTGAAGATTCCATTCCACGTACAAGTACACGGTAAGGTGTCTCTAAAATCACTAAAAGCAGCACCCAATCCATTGCCAACAAGTTACTAGCACAAGGAGGGTGGGAGGAGACAGTAACTGAAGGTTATTAGTGGAAAACATGCTAAGCACTAGGAGACATGGAGCATAGTCACCATATGAAAGATTGAGATGATTTTAGGCAAAATTAATAGGAGGGAATCTTCTTGGTAAAGACCCTAATAAGATAGGGTGACACAGTGGCTGTGATAATGAATGGGCTTAAACATAGCAAGAACTTAGAAGGTGGTTCAGAACTGAGCAGTGTTTCCTTCTGTTGTATACAGGGTCACTATGGCGTAGTCACTATGGATCGGAACTGGCTCAATGGCACCTCACAACAATAAACAGAATTCAAAAAGGAGGTGGTGTTCCAATTAATTGGACCATACTAGAATATGATATTATTCAAATTACATTGGAACAATGGAATCTAGGAAGGAAAACAGACAGAACCATTTTAGGACTATCAGCTACTATCAGCTATTAGCCATGTAGCACTACAGGCGAGCCACCACACCCTTTAGTTGATCCTTTTCTTCAGCTGTAAGAAATTAAGAGATCTTCGCTATTACTGACAGTACTGCCATGGACTCAGGTGAAACTGCCTCATGTGTCTTCCACTTACAAACTGGAGAGTGGCACAAGAATGTTGAAACCAAACTCACAGCATCAAGTCAATTCTGACTTATGGCGACATATAGGGCAGGGCAGAACTGCCCCTGTGGGTGTCTGAGACTGTCACTCTTTTTTTTTTCCTTCCCTTTTTGAGACTGTAGCTCTTTATGGGAATAGAAAGCCTCAATTTTCTCCCTCGGAATGGCTGGTCTTGAACTACTGACCTCCCAGTTAACAGCTCAATGTATAACCATCACTATACCACCAGGACGCCTACAAGAATGACAGAAACCTTCAAAAAGTTAAAGGGCCGTGGGAGGAAGAGTATCATTATCTGCTGCATGGCACAATATACTTTCTCAAAGATACAGGAGTATATGTATATAAAATATGTCCTGGTTTAATTTTATTTAATGAAAAATAAATCATAAAACACCTAAAATGGCAGGGAGAGAGGGAATGGAAGACTTGGGGACAGAGCTAGTTTTCTGTATGTGCCATTTTCTAGATTTTACTTTAGAACCCTAAAAATAATTGACAAAACTACCACACACGCACAAAAATAATGATAACACAATCCTTAAACATGAAAAGGAAAATTACACAAATTAACCAGAATATGAACCCAGTTGGAAGCATAACACACAAGAAACTATCCCAGATGACTTTAAAACCAAGTATTTTGATTGTATATCCTAGGGGGTCTATACCTCAAGTACAAAACAAACAAAACCAAATTCACTGTCATCAAGTCAATGCTGACCCACAGCACCCCTAAAGAACATGGTAGAACTGCCCTCTGTGAGTTTCCAAGAGTGTTAACTCCAAAGTCCAGTCTTTCTCCCACAGAGCCGCTAGTCGGTTCAAACTGCTGACCTTGCAGTTAACATATAACCACTACGCCACAAGGGCTCCTCAAGTACAAAAAGATCTTAAAAGAGTCATAAACTATAGTCAGCAATACTACTGGTGGCAATGTTGATATTGATTTTGGTAAAAAAAAAAAAATTAAAATAATGTGGTTCACAGGTCCATACACACCCTCCTCAGCCTCCAGGGCCCACTCCAGATGATTTCTATGAAGTAGAGCAAAAGTGAGGGGCCTACCTTGCAGGTGGGAGATGATTTCTTCCCTTTAAAATCAGTTTTCTTTGGGAAATGTTTTATTGTTGTTTTAAGAAAGTCTATTAATCAGGAAAGTTTTAGGAATAATAAAGTTAATTATTAACGCTGTTTTTATCCCATAGATACAATATAAAAGAGCAGGAATGTTTCACAGGACCTAACACACTCACACACACATATATAAAATTAAATTATACATAAGAACTTTTTTGGCATAACCACGCTTGCTCTCAATGGGAATAAATGAGTGTCCACAAATAGAAAAATCACTTTGGCTTCAGTGGGGAAGTAGATGACCGATTCAGTTGCTATAAAGCAATCTTCTATGCTTTCTGATATATACTAGTATTGAAGATTAAAGTTCATTACCCCAGTAAAACGAGTCTCCATTTCAGAATTAGGAATATACTCATACCCATGTTCAGAATGATTACACTTGCATTCTAAATAGCATCATCAGGGTATAACTTACAAAAGGAAAAACTATTTCTCTGCAGCTCAGTGTAGAGAGATGACAAGTACCTGGTTAGGGTTTTTGATTGGCATGTAGTCCTCATCTTCTTTTTCTTCTGAGCAGTGACGAGTTTTCTTTTTGTGTTTTTTACTTGTGTGTGAGTGACTTGCTTTTGAGTCTTCCGCCTCTTCATCTAATACAAGATCATATTTTGCACTACAGTAGTTAGTTAAGGGCAAGTGTGAGTAGTGGCACTAACAATACTTCAAAGTTCAAGTAATTGGTAAACAAAGAGGCCATTAAGTACAAGAAACTTATTTAAACCAAAAAATTTAAGTTTTATAATTTCACATTGTAGCCCCTAATAAAATGTTAAAAAAGAAAAAAAAAAATTTCACATTGTATGTTTCGTATTTTCAAATGTGTATTTCACATATTCTTTCTGTATATACTCAGATACTCAGGAGAAACGGAAAGAACTGATCAACTCGGTAAAACTTTACAAAAACACACAAGGGGAAAAAACCCTAACACTCTATCCACAAATGAAAATACAAGTGCTATGTGAAAGGAAAAAACATTTCTAAGTAATGAAAAAAATTTAACTTACAAAATGTAGCACTAGCTAGAAAAAATAAACTTTTATAATCCCCAATGCCAAAGATGCAAGGTAAGAACAGAGGAAGAACCATTGGATTCTTTAAGAAATGGAGATTAGTTTAGCAATGTATATCAACAATTAAAAGATTTTATAAAATTCTCCATGAAGAATATATAAGAATATATACCATATATAAGAATATATGGTAGTAAGATAAATGAACAAAGGTATGCATATTAGCTGACTGCCACTGAGTGGATTCTGACCCACAGTGACCCTATAGGGCAGAGCAGACATGCTCCACAGGGATTCTGAGGCTGTCAATCTTCCCAGGAGCCAGCAGCTGCAGCTTTCTTCAGTGATGCTGGGGGATTTGGATAGCCAACCTTGCAATTAGCAGCCCAATGAGGAATCCACTGTGGCACCAGAACTTCAATCCATAATAGGATTACTTTTCATAACACAAACTGGGAATAACAAAATGCTTCGTGATAAGGATATACTTAAATACATTATAGTATTTCAACTATGATATAATAAAGGAACTTACCAACAATAATAAATGAGTGCTATGAAAAGACAAGAAAAGTATTTGTGGAAAAATTTAAGTGCAAACAGCTTGAACTCTATCTCATAATGGTTAGTTACAACTCTGTAGAACTTTACATAAAATAAAGGCTCCAAGAGAACAGAAAAAATAAAAAGTTTCATCTTTCTAGATGGTAGAACTAGGAGTGAATCATTTTTCATTATTTCATATGTGTATCATAAAATTTTTATTAATATATTTTAAGTTCTCTAATAATTCCTTAGAAAAAGAGGAAATATACAATTATTCTAACCCCTGCTGAAAAGAATCACTACTAGTAAGAGGGGCTCTGCGTAGGCTGGCAGGGGCTATCACAGTGGTTTCAAAACAAAGCTTCTGAAGAAGTCTACCCACAGAGCTACGGTGGAAATGGACCACGTGCACACTCATTTCCCCTCCCCAGCTGTCTTCACCATGCCAGGGCCCTCCGCTTTCCTCAGGGGTGTCTCATGTCATGTCTCTGTGAAATCAAATCGGAAGACACTGTCCCCTCTAGCTTTCCACAAGATGGCCATCCTACAGTGCTGCTGTTAGGTGCTGTGGAGACATTAGCACCCAGAACCACACGACAGACAACAGGGCAAATCAGTCCTCCATTACTCCGACTTCTTCGCTCCTTTGGCATGTCATGCTATCTCAGAGCACCTTCCAGATCTCCTGTTACTCATACACGTCAGCAGCCCTACTTGCACCTTCCTGTGTGCCTTGCACATGCTGCTCCCTTGGCCCAGGATGCTTCAGAGCAGTGCTTTCCAACTGTGGGCTGTAATCCATCCATGGGGCACCAAATCCACAGGCTGGATCACAACTAGCCTTTCAGGTCTGAGATTTAGTGCCACTTCTTCTAGTGCACCTTGAGTCTTCCGGTGACTCCATCCCTATTATAACCAATGACATCACCACACACTTCTTTGTAACACTTGGCAGATTTAATTATGTGATCCTTTAGTATCTTTTCCTCATTCCCTCAAGTCCTGAAATATAATGTAAGCTCCACAAGACATGAGGCTGCTTGTCCTCACTGCTAACTGGGTAACAGAAGCTGTGTCTGTCTGTTGATCATGTCTTGTATCACCCAAACGCTGTACATTCTGTGCTTACCTATCACTATCTTCTCACCATGACAGCACATTTTTAAAAGAAAAATGCCAAATTCCTTCAAACTAAAACAAACTTCTGATCTGACTGACCTCTTTCCCCCAGCATCTTCTCTGAGCTCTAGTCCGGCTATAGTTGTCTTTTGTTCCATTTTTGCATCTCGTTACTAATAATCTACATTTACAGTAATTTCTCCTTCTCTCAAGACCCACACAGTAGATCTGTGATGTACTTTTAAATGTCTTTTTTAATTCCTTAAGATAATGTATCCACCTATTAGATTGTCCTCTGAATCCTCTTCCCTAGCCATAATTAAAAATTATATTGATAATATGTGATGTTCCACATTATAAATACTTGTTGGTACTCTATTACTCTATTTGAGATGATAAATTCCTCACAAAAAGCAACTTGTCAATTATCAAAAACATAACGATTACTCTACTGGTTCAGACTCATAGATTTTCTCTTTCTTCTTGAGTATTTTGTTGGAGAGCGATTAAAAGTGGTCTGCAGCAGGAAACATTTGTTTTCTACATCAATTTCAAGAGGCTATGCAGCTCAATTCAGCTGCTACGAGTCACATGTGACTATGTAACTGCAAACTAGGTCAAATTTAATATTCAGTTCCTCGTTCCAGTTCCCATGCTCAAGAACCACATGTGGTTAGTAGCCACATGCACAGAAGTAGCTCAGACCAAATCTTAGCTTGTCTGCACGTGAAGCCCTCTCCCACCTGCTGATTACATCAGGACACACCAGATTTTATCCAGTTCCAGTACCTCATCGTGTTTTATGAACTGTAAGGCAGTCAACACATTTTTCTAAAATGAGTATACAACAGGTCAACCTGATAGTCATCTTTCCTTGAATCCTTAGAAATGTCTCCACAGTATGGGAAAAGGGAATCCCTGAAACACCAACAGAAACTAGGAAACAAAGAAATCCTTGATCAGGAAGAATCACAAAAGAAATGACCTCGGCAATGTGTGGAGTGATAAATTTATAATGAGAATATCAATGAATAAACTTATAATTACATAACATGAACAGTATGTTTTATTGCTTCTTACTTGTCTCAAACTAAAACTTGGAAGGGCCTGAATCACCTTGTCAAATCAATGGACTTCATTCTAGTGCCCTCAGAGTCTATTCTTGCATGCAATAGCAGCCCAGGAAATGTTTGCTGATAGACCACTGACTGCATTTACGATGTAGCAGCAAGTAGCCTAGTCTTGTAAGAACTACAGGATTTTGTGGTCTAGATAGCCACGATTTCCAAGGAAGTTAAAACTATCTGAAGAGAGTTAGCACAAGAATTACTTCATCAAAAGAGAAATGTCTTGGCTTTGAGAATTTTAAAACATTATTATATATAGAAAATACAAATCCTATCTGAAGATGTTGTCTTTTTTTTAGAATAACGTTAAGTGTCCACTTATTTTAACCGATGAATAAGAAGATAAGAGAATTAAGCTAATTTTTTCCTTTCAGCTCTTTCTCCATACAATAGAAAATAAAATGAAAAACCAAAGTTTAATAAAATGGTGAAAAGAGTAACAGAACAGACAGTCCCAGGTTAGACTTACTGACACCGCCTACATGGCCTTTAATCTTATGCAAATCTATCCGCACTGTGAGATGACTGAACCACCCATACAATTCTTCCTTAGTCACTGCCACTTGCTACACATGCAACTTTTAAGCCTTTTCTTGCACTAGCTCACTGCCACCGAGTGGATTAGAAAGCCTCACCTTTCTCCTAAGGAGCAGCTGGTAGTTTCAAACTGCAGTCCATGTAGTTTAGCAGTTCCACAAGTAGCTAACTACACCACCAGGGCTCCTTTTTCTGGGAAGGTTTCCCAGACTGAAATCTTTATGGGAGCAGACAGCTTCATCTTCTCCCTGTAGAGCAACTTGTGGGGTAAGACACTGACCTTGTGGTTAGCAGCCCAACACTTAACCTTTCTTGAACTAAAGTCAGGCTAAATAAGAACCGTATGCAACTGCTCTGAGTTACCAATCCTTAAATACAGTTAGAAACCATCTGGAATTGGGAACCTTGCCCTCTGTAACTTGCCTTCCTGACTTTGAAATGAGTCAGACAATATATAGGGATGGCTGCCATCGAGCTGACTGACTGACTTTGAAATGAGTCAGACAATATATAGGGATGGCTGCCATCTGCTGACTGACTGACTTTGAAATGAGTCAGACAATATATAGGGATGGCTGCCATCTGCTGACTGACTGACTTTGGGAAAGGATACTCTTGTTTGGGCTTTACTTTATCTTTCAGAACCAAATTAGGTGGTTTATTCTGCTCCTTTTCATACTCCTTAAAATCACTCTTGGTGTATTTTCCACCTATTAGGAAAAGAAAAAAGAACTTAGAAAAAAAATCACCTCATTAATCAAGATCAATTATTTTATAAAAAGTACAATTCAAGAGTTATTTTTAAAATTTCACATATATGAGAGGGCTTCAAAAAGTTCATGCATAAACTGAATTAAAAGATAAGTCAAATATGTCAGGCGATAGGAAAGGCTGAGAAAACAAAATAACCACAGCAATTCACTCTCCATTATTAAATAAAATCAGATATCCATTTTACTAGATGGCCATATGCTGCCACCTAATGACATAACATGAATATTACAATACCATACTTTCAAATTCCAAGTTACAGGATGAACACATTCCCTCAAACACAACGCAGTGTTCAGTTGAGAACATTACATTTTAGAAAGCTGAGGTGTCGATCTCTGAATTAAAAGGCTTGAAAGACCTATAATTTTGGAAGAACTGGGGCTTTAAAGACTCAGCTCCCAAATCTCAAAAAGAGACCAAGCAGACAGGAGGTAGCAGAACATGGCTGAAAGTTCACTAAACAGATGTAAGAGGGAGGGCTGGTGACAGCACCTTAGAAAAACTGTCTCTGCTTTACAATTCTGGCTTGGGAGCACTTTTATTTCTCCCCAAAGCCAACAATGAATGGACAAGGCCTTGAAAAACAATAGGGTCCAAAGACACAGCCTGGCTAGTCTACCAAGGCACACACCCAAGAAGGGGAGAGCTTTCCCTGCAGTTTCTCCATCTCCAGTCTAACCTCCAGACTGCTGACTGACCTGCCGTGCCTCAGCCCTCACCAACTTTGGGGGGAAAGCTTCCAATAGATAGAAGAGCCCATGATGAAACACAAAAATAAAATACACTGAGGTATACAAAGAAATACTTTGATTGTGAATCCTACAGACACCTTTATTGTAAGGGAGAGGAAGACAGAAACAAACAAACAAACGCATCAAAGACGAGGAGAACCACATGAAAACTCCAGAGGCCCTGGAAACATAGCGCAGTCCATCGCCAATGTGTCCTAAGGACGTGCAACGGGCCTCTGAGACAGTTAAAACAGCACAGACAAGCATCAACACCGAACACCATGTCTGCCATGTGCTGTCACGAGGCTTCTCGCTACTACGAAGGAGGCAGCTATGGCTATCATAGAAAGGGAAAGGCTCTGGTCTCAAATCCTCTTGTATCAGAAAGTCAATTTCTTCATTTATAAACTACAAATAGTACCAACATTTCAGAGCTGTTAATCATTTAGACTTAATACCGTGACTGACACAAAGCATACAATTTTCTAAAAATATGAATCCATATTTTTAAATAATCCCAAAATAAACTGAGAGTAACAATCAACAATGTGCGTGTAATGGCATATATGAAACAAAGCAACTCTCTCCTACTTGGCTTTTTACTCTAAACAAAAACATGAAAAAACTGGCTTAAAAGTTTCCTTCTAAATCCACGACATTGAAACTACTTAGGGAGGCATTACCATTTCTTTAGTGGGTGGGTGGATAGGCTGCAAATACAGGACTGAAAGGAAGAAAACACACATACACGCATACAAAGCATAACAGAAATAAAGGAAAATAAACTGATGTACCTTTTCCTTTCCATTTAACCTTTGCAACAGACTGGCTAAAATCCACATGTATTCGTCTGTCATCTATAAGCACATTGTCCATTTTGAAAAAGGCTTTCTCACAATCTTCTTCCTGATTAAGAAAAAAATCTGTTGGGAGTCAATTCCAACTCATACAGGCCCTACAGCAGAGGGTGCAACAGCCTCCTAGGGTTTTTAAGGCTGCTGTCTTGACAGAAGCAGAGCACCAGCCTTTCCACAGCAGCTGATCACTTGAGCACAGTTCCACCAGGGCTCCTTCAGGAGCATGACTCTTCATGGAAGATCCCTCTAGCAAGAACAAATACTGACAACAGAGACATGCTATTGTCATAAAAAAAGCAGTATCTGAATATATATGCTGTGTATTGTTACATACTTTGTCTCAATTAATTCAGATAGCAACTCTTTGAGGTACTACTTTTTATTATCTCTATTTTCCTGAGGAGAAAATCCGTTTACAAGATGTAAGCTGCCAAAGATCATGCATGGTGACAGTCAATTACTTGACTGGAATGGAGGCAGTCTGTTCACAGAGAACATATATATGAGGGCTCCTTATTTAGTGTACAGTAACTCTCATTTCTGGCCCCCTCTTAAAGATAAAAATTGGAATCACCTGCTATTCAGTTCCTAATAAAGGTGAAGTGATACTTGGGGAAAATTCCAAATTCATGCAATTTGCACTGTTCAAATATATCTCTGGATCAAAAGATACCATGAAATGTATAACCCGACCTAAATATTTAGTACAACACACACTACTTTAAACAAAGCCAACACCACTTCCCTCTATCATAGGCTAGCTAACACTACATTAAAATATCCTGATTTGTTTATGGGACAGTAAGAGTAAAGGATGGTATATGGCATGTTCTATATCTCAAAAACTAGAGCTGATTGGGAAAAACAAGTGCCATTTTTTAGAATCAGCAGTTCAAATATACCCAGAAACAAGTCTAACATTTAAGACACCAAAATGTGTGTTAGCCAGTGTTATGGAATGCTGGCCTAGGCCCTACTGAGGGGGCCACCGAATGTACTGTGTGTGGTTGTGTGTACACAGGCACAGTATGACCTTGCTAAATTCTTAGTTCAGAAACAGCTATTGTCAAGGGTTTTAAATAATGGATTGTGGTGTTGTGGTACCAAGGTCTGTGTACACAAATATCCCCAGTTCTGATCTCTAATGATGAAAAGGAATACATTTCAACCAGGCACGGTCAGACTCACCAGCCTCTGACAATCGTGGGTGTCCGTAAGCGCAATTGTACGGCGATGCTATATAAAGATGACAGTAAAGTCATAGAGAATAGGGAAGGTAGGAGAGAAGATCAAATAAGGGAGTCAAACACATTTTATGGTAGCATGCTCACTTCAGCCCCTCTTGATGGTCCACGTGGAGGTGGGAGGCAGGAGGAGAGAGTATGTATTTCTAACCAAGGCTTATATATACTTAGGGGTGTGCAAGCCCCCCTGATTAAAGGTAACCACATATGTCACAGGAAGGGCTTGCACCATAAGCAATACAGCAATGTGAAGGGGACGATCTAGAGGTATACACGCAATAGGAAGAGAAGGGATCAGGGGGACACATGTGACAAGATGAGCAGAACCTAGATTCAAGACGGCAGCCTAACCCTGGGTCATCCTTGAGCTGACTTGGCTTAATCCGAGCTCTCCTTCAGGAAAGCTATCCACTCCCCTAAACAGCAGGGAGTGAGCCCTGCCTACGGTGGGTCAGACAACAGTCTGATTGCTCTGGATGGCTGATAACTTCTCAAGGAGATAACTTCTAAACAGCTTGCTTCCCAGTGTGCTACAACCATTTACCGTGTGTTGCAAGCAGTGTCCTAGGCTGGGCACAGAGTAAATATGGGGAACCACCTGGGGAGAAACCTTTTTGTATCCCACATGGCACCTTTCAATTTTCTTCTTTATTCCTTCATTCCTAGAAAGTTACTGTTCAAAGTCTGTTCACAACTCACTAGAGCCAACCCAAGGAGCAGATAAAAGAATTAATTACAATCATATTTACCATGGGTGTCACAACTAAATGGATTATAAACTCCATGATGATACAGACAAAGTGCTACTCATCTTGGTATCAACACCACTTATAATGAAACTTGATCACCAGAACTCGATAGGGCTGCCTTGTTGGACCGGCTCTTGCCAGTTTTCCATTTGCCTGGGTGCAGCCTTACCACTTTTCACTGCTCTCCATCATTTTCCATGTGAGAGGTTTCTGCCTTACACGGGTCCTAGTTTTCATAGATTTCACTACAGAGCATCACTTGGCAGATGGGAGGCAACTGCTGTGCCTCTGAACTGGACTTTGGCAGGTATCACTGAGCCACTTCCTCAGGGAGATAGTTCTCAGATAAAAGTTTCAGGGGGATAACATTAGCAAGCACGCCATTTACTTATACCTAAACTTATGCAGAAATCTCTCCAAAATTGGTAAGCTGATGAAATATTTACACAGAAATACAGAGAGCAAGAGCAGTTAAGGCGATCTTTAACAGCAATAACAGTTGGAGGCCTGACCCCACCGGACAGCAAGACATTACAAAGCTTTACAAGCAGACCCAGAGAGCACCACAGCCTCCAGAAAGAGTGTACACACCGGCGGGGGGCAGGGGTTGCAGAGCAGAGAGTAGGGATAGAACAATCTCTGAGGTAAATAGCGCTGGGTCACTTGACTATCCAATAAAAATGAAACTTCCTACAATGCCTAATCCTCAAAAATCAAACTATAGATTGAAATATGAAAGGTAAAATCAATAAAGTTTCTAAAAAAAGCATAGGAGAATATTTTCATGGCCTTGGGATAGGGCAAAGATTTTGTAAGAGGCCCTAAGAAGGGAGAAAAAATAGTCAAAAACTGGACTAAATTAGAAAATCTCAAGATACCATTAAGAAAGCAAAAGGCACAGAGCAGAAGATAGCCACAACACATAGCCATTAAAGAACTTGCATCCATAATGATAAAGAATTCCTAAAAATAGCACAGAAAAAACCACTACCACCACCACACACACACACACAATATATATATATATATATATATATATTTATATTGTAAGTGGATGTATTAGTCTAGGTACTTTGGAGAAACAAATCCACAGCAACTCATGTATAAGAGAGAGTTTTATGTAAAGAAAAGGTGCATCACGAAAACATCCCAACCCAATGCTGCCCAAGCCCACAAGTCCAACATTAACCCATTAACCCAACACCAGTCCACAAAGTCCTCCACCTCACAAAACAGAAGCAATGACGCCGACTGCAGGAGGAAAGCTGGGTCAGTAAATAAATAAGCATCTCAGCACTAGCAGGGGTCTCCACACGGCTGCTCCAGCACCCAGGGCTGCATCGGGATAGGTCCATGTGGCTTCTCCTTGGGGATGTCTTGTAGAAAGTCAATCTTGCAAGCTGAAGCAGGAAGCTGCTAAGGCAGCTGCACCCTGGTGCAACCATCACAAAGCAAGAGACCCGAGAACTAGAAAGGCGAGGCTCACCACCCATTTATCCCTCTGCCTTTCAATTAGCCCCACATGTGATTATCGGCCAGATTGGCACAATTAACTAACTCAGTGGGCAAGTCTTCAACAGGTACTTCAGAGAAAAGAACATTCAAGTGGCAGTAAACACAGTAGAGGGGCCAAAAAAATTCATGGAAAAATGGAATGAAAAGATAAGGGAAACAAAAACTCTGTGAAACAAAACTCAAAACCATAAGGGAGACCAAGCTTACTGGTCAGGTAGACTAGTGGGACCCCCCAACACCAGTGCCCTAGGTCACCCTTCAGATCTGGAAATGAACTCCCCCTTATGATAGAAAAATCAGCCATTTAAGATAAAAAAGAAAACCTTTACTCAAAAACAAAGTTTGGAGGCAGAAGGAGAATGGAAACAGGAAAGGCAAGAGAAAGATGGACAATCGATGGGTAATCACTGAGAGCATTGCAATGGATGAGTTGAAACAAAATATGTACGTAAGTCTGATGATCTGCACTAACTCACAATAAAATAAATTAATAACAAATAATGGAATTTTTCCACAAAATTTTTGATGCTCCCTCATAGGAAAGGAGCTCAGCCTGGGCAATACAAAACAAAACCACAAGATACTACTACGAGAATGGATCCAATGAAAGTGACTGGCCATCCCCAAAGCTGGTAGAGATGGAATGGGAGAGTCCCACATGCTGCTGTTCCGAGTGTACTGTTCAGTCGAGTCCAACTCAAAGCAACACTATAGGACTCAGAAGCTAAGGGATTTGAACCACCCACCTTTCTTTCAGTTAACAGCAAAATACTGAACTACCACACCACCAGGGCTCTACCACATGCTACTAATCAAGTGAAATTAGTATAACCACTTGGGGAAACTGATAGGAATTCACTACTAGAACCACATCCATCCCAGGACCCAGGAATGACTACTAGTTTACATACTCAACAGAAATGCATAGTAGTGGCTTCAAAAAGTGTGTGGGGAAATTCCATTATGTATTTATTTTAATCATTTTGTTAGGAGCTCTTACATATATAATAACATTCCATAATTCAACTAGATCAAAAATAGTTGTATAAGTACTACTACAATCAATTTCAAAACATTTTCTTACCTCTTGAACTCTTGGATATCAGCTCCCTCTTACCTCCTCCCCACCATTCCTTTCCCCCAAGGAACCCTTATTATTATTGTTATATAGTTGTTATTATTATTCTATTATAATATATGTATGTATATATATTTTAGCCATCTCCCATCAATATATCCATTCACCTACAATCCTGTTATTTGCTCCTCTCAAGTGGGGTTTATATAGTCATCACTGCTCTCAGCCCTGCCCCCTCCCCCACATCCTTGGGGATTCCTCACTCTAGTTTCTGAAGGGTTATCCATCCTGGCTTTCCTGCATCAAACGATCTTAATTATACAAATGAACACACATAAGTCTAACAATATTCATGAGGTAAGACATCGGCAACCTTAATAGTAGGAGGGAGGAAATAGTAAAGAACCAGAGGATAGTTATGTGCCACATCAGGGCCACACCACACCCTGAATTCATCATCCCTTTTGTGGGCCCTTCTGTGAGGGAATGACCAACTGTTCTACAAATTCCATTATCTTTTAATTCCATTTATCCAACAAACTTTCTGAATCCCTATCATGTATACATACATTGGTATACATGTATACAACATATGTATACCAAAAGACATACAAAAATTGTTTACAGTAGGTAATAGTACCATACCAGTCAAATATTGGAAGCTATTCACATGTCCACTTACAGTAGATACATCTAAATTGTCTCTCACACAAACACACACAATAACATATTATAGGTCAGTGAATATTAACAAAAAATAAATAAAAACTATAAAACTATAAATACTATAAAACATTATATCCAATAACATGGATAAACCTTACACATGTTAAGACTGAGGAAAAAAAGCTATATACAAAAGAACACTCTGTGCTTGAATTTTTTTGTTATTTTATTTTCCCACACATATCTCGTGGTTTTTTTCTTACTGTAGTTCTTTAAAGCAAATCTTAAGACGTTATATGATTGCACATGGATACTTCAGAAGATGATCTCTAATAAAACATTCCTTGGGTTTTATATATATTTGTAATTGTGCTTGAATTTTTATCAAATTTAAAAGAGGCCAAATGACTCTAATGCTACAAGGGATTGGTACACAGGAACGGCCTCCAGGGTACTGGTAATTATGGGGAGAAGGGAGTGTAGTAATGGACACAAGCATATTAACTTTGTGATAAGTAATCAAGCTGCTCAGTTATGCCTTGAATAGTTTCTTTATATATTTTATTTAACTGTGCTTGTCTCTGTTTTTGTTTTAATTTGGATCGCAAGAGTCAATGATAAAAATTTACAAAGAGGCTGGTACTAACACCTATCAGAATTATGAAGCAGAATAATATAGCTTGATCTAAATTTCAAGAGATGAAAAAGACTACAAAAGATCTAGCTCAGCAACTTAAATATTGAAACATTATAAAGAATTTATAAATTCTATAATCCCCCTCTGCTCTACAGTTGAACTGAGCTATATACTTTGCTGTAGAACATTGATTCTCAACCTGTGTCGTGACTTCTTTGGAGGTTGAACAACCCTTTCACGGGTCGCCTAAGACCATCAGAAAAAACGTATGTCCATGGTCTTAGGGCTCCAGATGTCGCTCCTCTATGCGTCTCCAGGAGGGTCTGCCCACATGCACATACACGCACAGACGAGTACCTGGCATGATGACATCATCGCTCCAAACCCATCACATACACCCTGTACAAATACAGGGTTGGCAACCATAATGTACTGTGCAGACCAGTCACACATGTGTAGAGAGCAGCTACTGTGTAGAAAGCAGCTGCTGTGTTGAAAGAAGTAGTATTGGAGGTAAAATGACACCTCATGAATTATAATTACTGGGTAAATGCTTTAATTAATGCTTTAATCACTATGCTTTAATTATGTTCAATGTGTAACAATGAAAATACATCAGCTATTTACATTATGATTCATAACAGTAGCAAAATTATAGTTATGAAGTAGCAACGAAAATAATTTTAAGGTTGGGTCACTACATGAGGAACTGTATGAAAGGGTTGCGGCATTAGGAAGGTTGAGAACCACTGCTGTAGAAGATGGAGAAACATGGGCAGTTGTTAATCTAGATGCTAAAAATGAAATGAAACCATACCCTGAGCAAGTAAAGTTTCAAAGATGGAATGACCATGTGAAGTCCACAAAAAGTTTTTATAGAAAACCAAAAATAAGGATTTTCTTCTGTTGGCACCAATGTAGTATGTAATATTATCACTGTGCATCTGACATTGCATCTAGGTATAATTTGCTATGTCTGCCTTCTTCAAACCTGCCCTATTAATTTTGTATTCCTAAGACTTATCTCACTGCCTTAAATACAGAAGTTATTCAATAAATGCTTTAAAGTAACAACTTGCAATAAGCTACTATTGGACACATACCAGTCCATAGCACAACAGAGTGAGCATAATAAATATCAGTCAGACCCTAGCTATGATACTCACTGGCTGAATGATTATGAACAAGTCACATTATCAATTTGTCAGTTTGCTTTTTCAGAAAAGGACGATAGTATCATCTCATAGAATTGTTAAGATTAACTGTAAGGAAGCACAATAATGCTTGGCTTTGAGTCTGTATATGAGCAGCATTACTGCTATCATTATTCTCTACGGTTGCTGCAAGTCAAGCACTCACTAGTTATCTTTATTACAGAGATGAGAAGAACTGATTAATCTAATGCTCATGCTTTATATATAAGGCAAGCCTAGAAAGAAGATCCATGCCAATCATCATACAGCAGCCAGTCAGTGACAGAGTTCAGCTTACTATCTCGATCTTAACATGCAGCCTGGCTCTCTATTACTTCCCTACAACTCTACCCAAATAATATGAAAATCTTTACTAGAATGTGAAGGACTTTATCTAAAACTTGAGAGTTAAAAGATACATTCCTGCAGCCTGCTTCTAAACCTGGAGCAAAGGCTCATACATTAACATCGAGAGGTACTGAATGCTGTCTGGTGTATTGTGACTCATGCCACCCATGTGCTACCAAGAAGAGCTGGCTCCAGAGGGTTTTCTTAGCTGTAATCTTTATGAAAGTCGTGGACCATTTTCCCCACCCAGAAATGGCAAGCTAATCTTCCAATCTTAGAGGCTGGGGGTTTTTATTTAATTTCCCACATTTTAATGTGATATATGAACAAAATTAATACAAAACTTCATCCACCTATGGCATGACATACCTTTTCAAATTCAATAAACGCGTAACAGAGAGATTCTCCTGTCTTCCAATCCCGGATAACTTCACAACTGCAAGAGTTTTTTTCAAAAAAGTGACTTTTAAAAAGTGAAAGCATTTATTCTCACTCTTCGCAAGTGGATAACAATATAAGGTAATTATTAAAAAGCAAAGTTAAACTCAAAACTATTTCTTCCAGAACAATGTGTTTCTTGAGAAAAAGATCATTATTAATCATCTAGTTTCTATTCTACATGTCCTATCTAAAGTTACAGTCCTTCATTCCTAAGCATTGAAGAGAATAAAATTAAAATCTGAAAGTCTTCAAAAGTTCATAGAAAAATGGAATTAGATAAGAGATAATGGAATTTCTCCATGAGCACTTTGAAACCCCCTTATACTTAATTGTCCTTTAGCAAAAGTAAATTTGCTTCAAAAACCAAAACCTTACCTTTGTCAAGTTGATTCCAACTCATAGTGAAACTTACTTTAAAAAATTTTTAAATCATATTCTATTTCTAATGAAAATAAATTATAGAATATCTAATATTACTACAGAACAATTTATGCACATTCATACATATATAACTCGTAGTAAGTTTATGCTTTAGAAATTTTTAATTTTAGTGTAAACCAAACTAAAATTAAACCCTGTATGTAAAGTTATTAAGCCTATTGCTGCCAAGTCAATTCAAGCTAATAGCGACCTCATGAGATAGAACAGAACTGTCTCATAGTGCTCCCAGGTTTGTCATCTCTATAGAAGCAGATTGCCACATCTTTCCCCCAGGGAGCAGCTGGTACATCCCAACCACCAACCTTCCAGGACCAGCCAAGCACTTAACCATGGTGCCATCAAGGCTTTTGAAGTTTCTGTAACACAGAACCAAACTACCATATATACTCGAGTACAAGCTGTTTTTCAGCACTTTTTTAATGCAGTTTTTGTGGTAAAATTAGGTGCCTTGGCTGATTTTCAGGTTGGCTTATACTCGTGTATATACAGTAGTTTAATAACCAAGTGACAGGGCCAATAGGCTAGAGTTGAAAGCATTTGGCTTATCCCTTCCTCAATGTATCATAAGTCTCATTTTAAAAACATGAAAGAAAATTCTAAAAACAAAATAATACTGTTCCACCAATTACACAATATTCCTTTTCTCACAGAACCATTACCTTTGTGAATTTTTGCATTAATAATACAAGAAAAATAGGCCAAAAGAAAAATTTTATAAAACTGATCTTCTAATTAATTTTCATATAGATTGATCATTCTAGGAAGATGCTAAATGTGATAAACATTTTAAATATTACAAAAGTTTACTAAGACTATGATAAAACTATGCTGAAATTGATCCTTTCATTTCTTGTTTTCTAGGGAAATTTTTTCAGTGGATGTGGTAGAATCACTTATAAGCAGTCACACATAGACTCACTAAACTCATTGCATCAAGGCGATTCCGACTCACAGCGACACTATAGAACAGGACAGAACTGCCCCTATGGGTTTCTAAGACTGTAACTCTTTACAGGAATAGAAATCTTTATCTTTCGCTTAAGGAGTGGCTGGTGGTTTCGAACTGTTGACCTTGACCTTGAACTTAGCAGCCCAATGCATAATCTCTATACCATCAGGCTCCTATAGTCACACAAAGAAATATACAAACATATACACACACACAGATTTTTCTTCCAATGGTCCAAAGGCTCACATATAGAAAATTCACCAACACAAAACCCACCTAGCATTCACAAGCTGATCAAAAATGTTACACAAGGACCAATTTGTACTTATTTTTCTAAGCTTTTCACTAATTCTAGGGAGTAATTACCTTCTGATGGGTCCAAATCTTGAGAATATTATCTCCAGGTCCTCATCTGTGGTCACTGGATTCAATTTACATACAAATAACACATTTTCTGGAGGTTTAATATCAGCATCAGGTAGGTCTCCCACCTAGATTACAAATAAGAACATAAAACATTCTGTTTCCATTCTAAATACCTTATCGAAGCCCACAATGCCAATGTCCCTAAAAATATCTAAATTGACACTATGTAAACCGCAGGTTCAGGAAGATAAATCTGAGTAAGATTTCAAAACTTAAAACTATATACTGTTCCTGGTAATAGCATGAAAATAGCTGATCTTCATCTAACATTTGCTCTGTGTGAACACTGCTTGGCACTTGAAATACATTACAGCTAACATTTAGAACCTTGCTGTTTGTAATTTAAAAATAAAGAAAGTGAAATTCAAAAAGGTAAATAAAGTAACGACCTGGAAGGCCACACAGTGGGTAAAGCAGTGGAACTGGGGTTTGAACCCAGACCTAACTGGCTTCAAAGTCCCCCATTTTATCCCTATTTTCTTTTTATGTTTATGCGTTGGGCTGAAATCTACAGGTCGACAATTCAAATTCACCAGCATCTCCATGGGGAAAAGACTGGGCTTTCTACTCCCATAAAGTTATATTATCAAAAACCCATAAGAGGTTGCTATGAATCAGCACTGACTCAATAGCAGAAAGTTGTTTTTTGGTCTTTTTATGATTTGACATATTATAATAAAGGAGAAGAATTTATGTAAAGTGAATCTAAGTGATGAAGTATGAGTATAAACACTTTTGTAATGCACCACCTAGTTTAAACATGGAAATATCCCCTCACCCCATCATCCCTCTGATTCTATCAGCAGAGATGATGAATACCTTGTTTTCTTGCTTTCCTCTTGCTCAGCCCTATATAACTAAATCTACTATTACCTAACCGAATGTAATCTTTTGGAACTAATAAAGCCCAGTTCTTTCCACATTTTTATTCAGACGAAACAGCAACAATTACTATATATTGGTTCTAACTTTGTTTTCTCTCCCTTGACATCACTGTCTACTTCAACCAAAGTTAAATCAACTTCAGTTAATAACAACATTGAGGAAAGCATACTAGTGAGGTAACGTAACAGTGAAACAGAACAATGACGATGGTCCTGATTGTATGAGAAGTGTATTTTCTCATGAACCTTTAGCTGGATCAGCAATATTCTTTTCTACAGACTGTACTGTACATATATATTCAAAAACTCTAAGAGATAGTTTCTGATAAGATTATCATTGTCTCCTTTTGTATAAACATGTTAAAAAAAAAAACGTGAAAATCAAATACGGTTAAAAGCAAACAATAACAAAATCAGCATGATTTCAGCCTTTCAAAAGTCTATCAAAAGGTAACAATAATCAATGTCCAAAAGTAAGTATAAGAACACATAAGGTAAGTAAATCAGTAAAAATCCCCAAAAGACACCTACAGGGAGAGAAATATCAAATTTAAGAGGCATGAGAAAAAGTCAATGAATTAAATAACTTACTGTAGTCAAATCTAACTTTAAAATAGGTGCAACAACTATGAAAAGCTAACACTGCAAAATACCAGTTGAATTATCATATTACACACAAAGTAAGAGAAGCATGTTCTTAGAAAACAAAAGATAAAATCTGTTAATTAATGAGACTTAAAAGAACACAGGATCCAGCTTGGAAGCATTTCTACTGGCCAAATCTTGGACATTTGAGCACACAAACAAAGACAGTCAAGTATTATGTAACCCTTTACTTGAAGGGAAAATCCAGGAATCCATTCTAATCATGAACAAACCGAAGAAAGGAGAGGGGCTCTGCAAAGGAGAATGGGCTGATGAATATGGTAGAGTTGGAAAATCACCACTTTGTACGAATCAAAGTCAAGATTTGATCAGGCAAGAGGAAATGAATGAATGAGAAATCTAGAGTGAACGTTTACTAAAAATAAGCTATCTGCACAGGTTTTAAAACGCTTTTAGCTTGCTTATAAGCTGCCAGGGAAAACAGAAACTCTGCAATGGAGACAGCAGTCAGTGGATCACCTTGACCAAGTAAGTGATTAAAATGAGCGTCTTGCCATGAGGGCAGATGGTTACTGCACACCTCCAGCTGTAACATGTGAGAAGGACACAACATCCCTGAAGTGGTATCCTGGGTAGGGATGGAAACCTTGAATTTAATCAAGAGGCAATAGTAGACCAACTCAAACTGAGGAATACTTTATAAAATAAATGACTTGAATTCTTCAAGTTGTCATGAAAGATAAACATAAGTTAAGGAACTTTTCCGGATTAAAGACTACTAAAGAGACATGACAACTAAATGCAATATATGTGACAGAAAATGGGCTGGGTTTAAAACTGAAGGAAGCAAAAGTTATAATATTATTTGGGTGTAACATACAGCAAAATAATAATAATAATATATAATATAGTAATAAGACTTCATTGGGGGAGGGGAGAGCAGGGAAGGGAGGGGAGGGAGGGGATAAAGGGGAACCGATATCAGATATCAGAGTTCAAGAAAAAAATGTTTTGAAAATGATGGTGGCAGCAATTGTACAATGATGCTTGATCTATTGAAGTATGGATTGTTGTGATATATGTTAAGAGCTCCCAATAAAAAAGATTTCAAAAAGAATATTATTCAAACTGATAAAATGGAATATGTACTGTAATTTCTGGCAATGTTAAATTTCCTGATTTTGATGACTATTGTGTGAAAATGTAAGATAATATTGTTGCTCTTAGGAAATACACATTGATGTAGAAGGTAAATACACACTGATATACATACATACTGAATATATGTAACTTAGTTTCAAATGACCCAGAAAAAATGACATGTGTGTATGTGTGCATATATTGTGCACATATAGTGTGCATTTTGAGCAAAATGTTCAAAATTAGTGACTCTGGGTAAAAGGTATATAGAAGTCTATACTTTATTTTTTAATTAAGTTGGAAATTATCTGAAGCAAAAAGTTTTAAAAATGTTAGCTCACTTTCTTCTGGTATAAAGCGTTTGTGTCAAAGTCTGATGTTCTTATAAGTTACTTATTCTTTCTACCCAAAGCATTTTTTTACATCAATTACTCTTAATAGAATTTGTCTTAATGTAAGTCATTCTGGGTCAATGACCTCAGGTCTAGAACATGCTCCTTGAAATGAGCATTTTCAAGGATTTCTTTCCCCAGCAAGTATTCAAGAAATAAGTACTATTGAGTCAGCTTTGACTCATGGTGACCCTATGTACAACAGAGCAAAACATCGCTCAATCCTGTGCCATCCTGACAACTGTTAGGCTTGCGCCCATTGTTTCATTATGTCATCCATCCTTCCATTGTGTCAATCTACCCTTCCATCCTTCCATTGTGTCAATCTATCTCCATAAGGATCTTCCTCTTTCTAGCTGTCATCATACTTTACCAAGCATGACGTCCTTGTCCAGAGACTGATCACTCCAGATAACATATACAAAGAACAAGGGGCAGAGTTCTACCATCCTCCTTTCTAAAGAACAATCTGGCTGTATTTATTCCAAAACAGATTGGCTTGTTCTTCTGAAAGTCATGATATAGTCAATATTCTTCACTAGGACCATAATTCAAAATTAATATTCCTCCAGTCTTCTTACTCACTGTCCAGATTTCATATACAAGTTGATTAAAAAGACCATGACTTGAGTCTGTCACACCTTAGTCCTCAAAGTAACATCTTTGTTCTCTAACACTTTAAAGAGGTACAACAGATTTTCCCAATGTAATACGTTGTTTGACTTCTTGACTGCTGCTTTCATGGGCACTGATTATGAATCAAAGTCAAATGAGACCCTTGACAGCACCACTCTTTCCTCCTCTTATCATGATGCTATTGGTCTACTTGTGAGGATTTGAATTTTCTTTATATTGAGTTGTAATCCATATCAAAGGAATCTAAGTAACACCAAGAACTCACTGCCATCAAAGTCGATGCAACTCATAGCAACCCTACAGGACAAGGTAGAACTAACTGCCCTTGTGAGTTTCTGAGACTGTAACTCCTTAAGAAGTAAAAGCCTAGTCTTTCTCCCATCAAGTGGCTGATGGTTCTGAACTGCTGACTTTGCAGTTAGCATAAGGTGACCAGATGTCCATATCCCGCTTTTGGCGGGACAGTTCCGATTTTTAACAATTTTTCCCCGCATCCCACAGCGTTTTTTAAAAGTCCTGATTTTTTGAAAAAATGCACTACACGCTAGGGTATATGGGTTTTCGGCTGCCATGTGGCTATTTTGCCAGGATATGAGCTTTATCAATGGTGTCCCGCTTTTGTCCCACTTTACCAATGTTAAAATCTGGTCACCGTAACTTAGCAGCCCACTGTGTAACCACTGCACCACCAGGGCTCCCATTTGGGTCGCAACCCCTTTGGGGGTGGAATGACCCTTTCACAGGAATTGCCCGATTCACAGCAGTAGCAAAATTACAGTTATGAAGTAGCAACGAAAATAATTTTATGGTTGGGGGGTTATCACAACATGAGGAATTGTATTAAAGGGTCAGGTTTTAATATCTATTCATTCAGAGTGGTAATACTAACATGTTTTTAAAAGAGATTACAGTTCTGAAAGTTCTACCATATAAAATAAAGATAATAAAAATTTTATTTGTTATCCATTTATTCAAATAGTTTTTGAAAATCTAATATATGATTTTTGTTAGTTGTCATCAAGTAGATTCCAACTCATGGTGACTAAGTGTGTACAGAGTAAAACTGCTCCTTTAGTTTCTAAAGGTGTGATCTTTCAGAAGACCATCAGGCCTGGCTTCCAAGGTCTCCTAGGTGGGTTCAAACTGAACTTTTTGACTAGTAGCTGACTACTTGATAATTTGCACCACCCAAAGACTACTATGCACTGTTGTGTCATCAAGCCAGTTCTAATTCAGAGTGGTCCGGGTACAACAGAACAAATTACTGGCCAGTTCTGCACCACCATCTCAATCAGTTCTATGTTTGAGGCCATCAGTATATCACTGTATCGATGTGATTGGTATGCACACTCCACAAAAATAATAGGAAAACTGCATGGAATAATGTACTGAATCCCCAAATGACTTCATACTGTTAGGAATATAGAATAAGAATATAATTTTAGAGTTTCTACCCATGTTTATTTTATTCTATGACTACTATCCTACTAATTAATCCCAATACCTTAGTAGTAGAATGAACAATTATTTCTTAGTATATGCAAAACTCAATCTAATAAACACTCTCTAAAAGCAAACTGAAATAAATGATTGACATTTCACTAACATTTTATTTTTTAAGATGGAAACCCAGTTTTACTATAATGTGACATCAGCGAGGCACCCAACAGCAATGCAGGGTATCTTGACAGAGTTCCATGTGAAAGCAGAACAGAGATGTTAGTTCCTTTTTTTAAGATTCACTAACATTCTTAAGTTAAATATTCACTTCTCATTTTTTAAAAAGGTACTTAACACAATACTGACAGTAAAACCAAATGTACTTATTTGACATGCATTTAATTTAATCCAGGAAATAATTCTAAAATTTTAATACATTAAGACTAGAAAGGGTTTGGCCAGAAACAGACAAATCCATCACGGTACATATTAGCTATAATGCATAACAACTATTTGAGCAAAGGTAATGATCTTACCATTTCTAAAAGAATAGCTTGAGTTTTGGCCTCTTTTTCTGCTTTTATTTCTTCTACTTCTTCAGCTGACCTTCCTTTGAAATCATCAATTTCTTCATCTGCTCCTATTCGACCACTCTGTAAGGTAAAAAGTATGTATATATTCATACACACACACACACATACACACACATATATGGAATAAAAAAATCTGAAAACCATGGAAGGCATTATGCTTTATTCTTAGTTCCATCAAAAATGTTAAAATATTAACTGAAAGAAATTTACGAATGTGTGAAAACTGATTAAAATTAATTCTATAATATTAGCCAGATAGAACTTCTAGTTTGCTACATAATAAAAATGAACATGTATACAAATTGGTTGGTGTATAATTAAGTGCTGAATGCAGAAGACAAAAAACTTAAAATTTAAACCTGACATAAAAACTGATTCAGCTTTGGGAATGCCTCATAGCAATAATTCATACCTTCAAATATCTGGGGGATGGCAATTGTACAATATTGCTTGATGTGATTGAATGATGTAATGATATATCTGTACTAACTCCCAATAAAATGGTTTTGAAAAAAATTTTTTAATTAATTGTGTGTGTGTGTGTGTGTGTGTGTGTATTTAGAGAGAGAGACTGCCTTGTTTCACAAAAAGTGCTTTGTTTTAGACTAGCTCCAGATTATCCCCAGGTAAAAAAATCCCCCTACAAGAGAACAGTTTAATTCAACCTTGAAAGTACAAAAAAGACATTTCTCCCCGGGTGTTCACATAAGCTTATAGAGCTAAGGCTGTTCTGGTAAAATGAAAACTGAAGAATGTAAATCAGTGTGCTGAAAAGATGGCTACAAAAATTAATATCACTGAAAAAAAATTTAATATCTCTGTGGATAAGATAAAAGAACTCGTTTTTTCTATAGCAACTAATAGAGCAAGGAAACAGTCTTAAGAAGTAAATTTTAATAAACTAAAGAGATAAATCCATGCAAAGCATTAATATGCATGTATATTTAATCCCAAGAGGGTTCTACTTACATCTAGTTGTTCCCTTGTGGGTTCCGGTGATCGATCAGGAATCAATAAATCAGGGGGGTCATCAAATGGATCATCCAAAATCACTGTATGATTTATCCTTACAAAATAAACCCAAATGTTATATTTATGTTACTTCAGAGTTTATATTGTAGTTTTATGGATAATACAGTTAATGGTTTAAGTATCTCTAATGCCAAAAAAGAGCTATAAGCACTTAAATTTTATTTTACAAGGATATTATCACAGTACACCTGCAGTTAGTGTTAGTTTTTCATTTTATTGCTTTGTATTTATTATTCTGCATTACTATAAGATATATAGTATTATGAATGTCTAAATAATCGTATATTTGTCCTATTTTTAATAATCTGCATTTTAAACCTAAATTAATGTATCCAACAGATGCAATTATAAATAATTATAGTACAAGTATAAAATTATAAAATGTCCTTTTTAAAAAAAAAAGTCCTTTTTATGAAATAGATTCTAGTGTTTTATGGTCTACATTTTAAAGTGATCCAAAAGCTAGTCCTACCTTTGTAATGCTCGTTACATGTAAAACATCACTGTACTAAATATTCTAATACTTTAGATAGTAAATTATAAACTCACCTGATATCTTGATAAGGTACGAAGTCCTTGTCAACAAAGGTCTCATTAATTTTTTTAATTATGTCCATGCCTTCTGTTACCTCACCAAACACTGTATGAACACCATCTAGGTAATCTAGATTTTCTCCTGTAGTAATAAGAAACTACAAAGACAGACACAAAAATAGGTCAACATCATTCCAACTGAAATCAGGTACAGAATAGCAAAGACAAACTAAGGTACTATACTTAAACACTTGTTTCTAGTATTAAGTTAAAAGTACAAAGCTTATTATGAAAAAGCGAAGGAATTTCACAGAACCTAAGATGAAACACCTGAGAAAGTTTGCCCAAAAGATGCTTCAAAAGGCAAGGAGGAAGCTTATCTACGAGAAAGCAAAGCACCATTACAAGGAATACAGGCAGATGTACAGAACTGAAATCCGAATGGCTCAGATGGCAAGAAAAGCTGGTAACTTCTATGTGCCCAAAGAGCCCAAGCTGGCATTTGTTATCAGAATCAGAGGTATCAATGGTGTGAGCCCAAAGGTTCAAAAAGTATTGCAGCTCTTCCACCTTCGCCAGATTTTCAGGGGCACCTTTGTTAAGCTGAACAAGGCTTTAATGAACATGCTGAGGATTGTAGAACCATACATTGCATGGGGGTACCTAAACTAAAGTCAGCGAATGAACTCATCTACAAGCGTGGTTGTGCCAAAATCAATAAGAAGTGTATTGCACTGACAGATTGCTCTGATTGCATGGACTCTTGGTAAATATCGCATCATCTGCATGGAGGATCGGATTCATGAGATCTATACTGTTGGGAAATGCTTCAAAGAAGCAAATAACTTCCTGTGGCCCTTCAAATTATCTTCTGCACAAGGCGGGATGAAGAAAAAGACTACCCATTTCATAAAAGGTGGAGAGGCAGGCAACAAGGAAGACCAGATCCACGACTTAGAAGGAAGAACTAAGGTGTTGGCCAGGGTTATTTTTGTAGTCTGGTCTCTTAATAGAAAAAGAAAAGTACAAGGCTTATATATAAAATATCAGCAAACACAGGGATATTCTACTCACTGCTCAAAATACTTGGGACAAACCAAGGCTCAGTCTCTTCAGATGTAATTTGGAAAATAAAAGAACCTACCCTAGTGGAGTTCACATACAGAAGAGACAAGACAATGGATGAAATGTGACTGACTCAACATGACTGATTACAAAATCTGTAATAAATGCTGAAAGGAAGCAGGCCTCGGTATGCATATGATGATCTCTGGGTAGTGGGACGGCAGGGAACTTTATTTTCTTCTGATTTTTCTGTATTTTCTAAATGCCTCAAATTGGCATGCATTACATTTGAAAAAGCAAATAATATAGTTTGTGGGGTTTTGTTTTTTCAATTTAGAAAAAAACAGTGCAATTCTTTCTTTTAGCAAATATCTTTGGTTGAAATGCTCTCCTTGTTGGATAGTTTAAAATGAGAGTTGTGTGAGGTTCTTTCAGCCCTTCATTTTTAATGTACACATTATCTTCTCAAGTATTTCCTAACCTGAGATCCATGCTGATCACTGCCATTGTTCACCATGGACACAGTGCCTCTCTTCTTGTGCTTAATTCTTGGCACCTTTTCGACCTCAAAAAAACTTGCTTGGTCACCATACAGCTGACTGAAAAATACATAGAATAACATTATAAAACATAAGTACAACTCTCATAATGAAATACAGAAGTATTAGCAGTCTATAGGATTACCAAATAGCTCTTTATAAAGAAACGTCACTATAATTCAAAATAGTCCTCTTTTTTGTTACAGACCAGTGTTTCCCAAAATGGATGATACCACCCTCTGGGATACACTGGGCTGATCCAAGGAAGCTGCAAAAGCAGATACCTACATTTTATCCGGGATTATGTGCGGGCTATAGTACAAAAATTTTAAATTGCCAGCAGGGTGTTGAATAACTTTTTCTATAAAGGAGAGTAGACCAAATAAGTTGGGAACCTATGTTACAGCCATTTAGGGAATCTGGAAAAAGAATCTACATTTGAACTGTATTTAAAAATGCAGAGTGAAGTAGGCTAGTTAATGCTGTAAGAGGCAATTTTCTTTCTACTTGCTTAGAAATAAAAGACCTTACCCAAAAACAGACTCTCCTCCACGGCCAGTTCCGGTAGGATCACCCGTTTGTATAATAAAATCCCTCTAGAATAACACAGAGTATTCTGTTAATATACAAATTATGATAGATGGTTTTAATAATAAAGAACATAATATGCAACTAACCTGTACATTGTGAATAAGGCAATAATTGTAATATTTTATTTTGCACAACTTCAGGAAATTCAAGCATGCTGAAAAAAAAAATTAAAGTTACCACAGTAGTTCGTTGACAAATGAAATTTTATGCAAGTAAAATCACAGTTCTAAAAAGTCCACTGTCAGGTGAAGGGAGACATCAAACAGGGCTAGATATGACAAAATAATAATGTATAAGTTAACAAGGGTTCATGAGGGAAGGGGGAGTGGGGAGGGAGGGGAAAAACAAGGAGCTGATGCCAGGGGCTTAAGTGGAGAGCAAGCGTTTTGAGAATGATGAGGGCAATGAATGTACAAATGTGCTTTACACAATTGATGTATGTATGGAGTGTGATAAGAGTTGTATGAGCCCCTAATAAAATGATTCAAAAAAATAAAAATAAAAAGTCCACTGTCATCCAGTTGATTTCAGCTCATAATGCCCTTACGGAACAGAGCAGAATTGCACTGTAGGTTTCTGAGGTTACAAATCTCTGCAGGAGCAGAAAGCCTCATCTTTCTCCCTCAGGATGGGTGGTATTTTCAAACTACTGACCTTTCAGCTAGCAGCCCAACTATTAACCCACTACATCACCAGGCAGTTAGTATAATTTAATTTCTAAATTGCCACAAAACAAACAAAAATGATCAAATGTCCAAAGCCAAGAAAAAAGATAGTAAGCCTAGAAAGAGACAACAAATTTTAAATGATCTTCATTTTTTTCTTAGGATTTCTTGGGCATTGAGAGCTAATATGAGAAATCACTACTTATTAGAAACAATCATTTACAGATAAAATTTTTAAAGGAAGATACTCTGATGGGGAAAAGAGCAAACTATATTAAAATGGGCGTATATTATTTAAATTAGGGGAAATAAAATATTCTAGAAAGCATTTTTTTAAATAATTAAAAAGCCCTACACAAAAATCCACATTTACCATATACCAGCTTTCTCATAAAATCAACTGTTTTTCTAATGCAATTTTTGACATACCTTCTAGGTGCTGGGTATTGCTGGGTGTTACTAGTAGGTGCGGTCATGTCAGTTCCCACTCATAGCAACCCTATGTACAACAGAGAGAAGGACTGCCAGGTCCTGGGCCAGCTTCACAACTGTCGTTATGTTTGAGCTCATTGTTACAGTCACTGTGTCAATCATCCTGTGGAGTCTTCCTCTTTTTCCGCTGTCCCTCCACTAACCCAGCATGATGGCCCGTTTCAGGGACTGAACTCTCCTGATGTGATGTTCAAACAACATGACACAAAGTCTTACCATCTTCACTTCTAAATAGTACACTGGCTGTATTTCTTCCAAGACCAATTTGCTTGGAGTTTTTCTGGTAGTCCATGGTACTTTTTTTTTCAGCTGTTTAAAAAAATTTTAGGTGTGGCTGAGTCAACTGTGACCCCTATCTACAAAACTAAGTACTGCCTGCTCCTCACAATTGTTATGTTAGAGCCCAATATTCTTCTCTAGCACCTTAATTCAAATATTCAAATGCGCATTCTTCTCTGGTCTTTTTGATTCCAAGTCCAACTTTCACATGCATGAGGTGACTGAAAATACTATGGCTTAGGTCAGATGAGCCTTAGTCCTCTCAAAGCAGCATCTTTGCTCTTTTATAAGATCATATGCAGATTTACTCAGTGCAATGCATCTTTTGCTCTCTTGCCCACTGCCTACATGAGGATTGTAGATACAAGCAAGCCAAAATCCTTGACAACCTCAATCTTTTCTCCATTTGTGAAGGGCTCCGATTATCATGATGCTACCTATTGGTCCAGTTGTGAAGACTTCAGTTTTCTTTATATTGAATTGTAATCAATACTGAAGGTTGCAGTCCCTGATCTTCATCAGCAAGTGTTTCAAATGCTCCTCACTTTCAGCAAGCAAGTCTGTATCATTTGCATATTCCAGGTTGTTAAAAAAGCCTTCCTCCCATCCTGCCATGTTCTTTCTCATGTAGCTTCTCTGATGATTTGCTCTGTATAGATTGAATATGGTAAAAAGTTACAACCCTAACACACACCTTACTTCAAACCTTACTTTATTTTAATTAATGTAATATTCTCTTGTTCCATTCAAACAATTGCTTCTTGGTCCAAGAGTCCCCATGAGCACAATGTTCTGGAATTCTCATTGTTCTCAATGCTGCCCATATCTTGTTAAGATCCACATAGGCAATGATGCCTTTGCACTGTCAATAAAACCCAAGTAAACATCTTTGTAGTAGTCTCTACTTTCAGTAATATTCTTTTTTTCCATGTCCTCTTCTGAATCTTGCTTGAATTTTTGGCAGCTTCCTGTAGATGTACTGCTCTGTTGCTGAACTGTTGTAACTGTGTTGAACTGTGGTTGAATCTTAAGCAAAAAATCATCTGCCTGTGCTATTAATGATATTATTCTATTATTTCCGCCTTTTGTTGGGTAACCTTTCTTTGAAATGGGTATAAACATGGCTCTCTTTCAGTTGGTTGGCCAGGTTGGCTCTTTTCCAAATTTCTTGACATAAAACAAGTCAGTGCTTCTTCCAGTGCTTCATCAGATTGTTGAAATGTTTCAAGTCCAGGAGCCTTGTTTTTGCCTAGTGCCTTCAGTGCAATTTGAGCTTTGTCCTTCAGTACCAGAAGACCTTGAACACATGTTACCTCTTGAAATTGTTGAATGTCAACTAGTTTTTTGATACTCTGTATGCCTTCCATTTTCATTTCATGCCTCTTGCATCATTCAGTATGTTGCCCCGAGAAACTTTTAATATTGCAACTAGAGGCTTGAATTATTTTTCTTCAGTTCTTTTACCTTAAGATATACTGAGCATAGCCACACAGTTACTATGCAAGGGTTTTTGCTTTCTTCAAGAACTGTGGTGGGGTTGGGCTGTTAACCACAAGGCCAACAGTTCAAAACCACCAGCTGCTACTCAAACAACAGGGCTTTCTACTCCCATAAAGAACATTCATTTTTTGTTTTATAACTCCGGGTCTTTGCAAATGTCATTATAGTACTTAGTCTTCTTGAGTTACCTTTTGTTCAGCTTTATTTCATCATTACTTCCATCTGCTTTCACTACTCTATGATCAGGACCAAATCTCAGGGTCTCTTCTGACATCCACTTTGATCTTCTCTTTCTTTCACGTCGTTTTATTAGTCTTTTGCCTTAAGGATCCCTGGTGACATAGTGATTACAAATTAGATTGACTGCAAGATGAGCTGTTCAAAACCACCAGCTGCTCCTCAGGAGAAAGATGAGGCTTTCTACTCCAGTACAGTGTTAGTCTTGGAAACCTACAGGGGCAGTTCTACCTGTCCTTTAGGGTCACTGAGTCAGCATCAACTCAATGGCAATGAGTTTGGTTTTTTGCTGTTTTCAGGAGCCCTGGTGGTGTTGTACTGCAAGCCACAAGGTTAACAATTCAAAACCATCAGTGAAGTCTGGTTTTTTGGGTTTTTTTTTGCTTTCCTCATATATGATGTCATCCCACAGCTCACTAGGTATTTTGTCCTTAGTATTCAATGGGTCACATATGTTCTTGAGATATTCTAGAAAACTGGCCTTGATCCACCACAGTAAACCTGAGTTGTGCATACCCCATGGACATGCAGATGGATTCTGGGCACCCACTTAACTCTAGCCCCAATCCAAGAACAGTTAGTTTTGATAACATGCCCTGCTCGATACTTACCTTCATGAAATGATCACTGAAGATAAATGGGTGCTACAGCAAAGTGTGGTGAATAAAGCAGATGGGGCCCAGCTATCAATCAGAATAGTATCTGGGGTCTCAAAGGATTATATTCATACAAGCAGCCATCTAAATAAGTCAACTAAGTCCACATTACACCAGCTTGTGTAATCTAACAATGACAACAACAAAATTCAAATATGACAAAGGGAAAAATATCAGAGCTAAAATTAGGAACACGTAGAAGGCTATGGAGTGCAGTGGGAGCCCAAAACTCATCTGAAGAGTAACTAGTCAGATTAAGCCACTGGCAGAGGTAGCCACAGACAAGGGTCTTAACCAGTCTTACTATCCAACATCTTACTATCATTATTATCTTGATTGTGCTGAACCAAACGTGATACTTGGTCAGGTGACCTCCCTATTGGCCCAACCTGAATACTTGTTCTAGGTCCAAGTATCTCTTGCGTGTTTTATGACAAAAATTTTTCCCCTGGATTTTTAAATATTGAGGATTTTTTTTTCCTTTCTCATTATTTGTACTTTTATCTTTTTACTATTATTATTTTAGCCTTACCACTTTATTTCAATTTTGTTTTTTATTGTTTCCCAGTTTCTGAAGCAAAGGAGTGGATGCATACAGATGATAGCTGATTCAAGGGTTTGTAGGGAATATAGGGGTGGGATGGGAGGTATGGAGGGTGAGGGGATTGCAGGAGTAAACAATGAAGGGGGGAGAGGGGAAGGAGTACTAGAACTGATTGTGATTACACAACTCATCTTAAAGGTGATTTAACTGTGTGTGTGTAGGGGATGTTCTACATTTGACTGTGGTAATGATTGTACAATTCTTGATATGATTGAACTATTGAATTGCAAGATACGTGGATCAGGTGCCAATAAAAAGTTTAAAAAGTCATGCAACCATTAAAAAAAAGATTGGCCTTGATAGACTTGTTTTCATTTTCTTCGACTTCAACTTGAACTTACATAAAGAGAAATTGATGGTCTGTTCCAGTCAGCCCCTGGCCTCATTCTAGGTGCTGATATTGAGCTTCTCCATCATCTTTTCCCACAGATGTAGTCAATCTGATCCTTGTGCATTTCATCTGGAGAAGTCTACATGTATTGTTGTCATTTATGTTGCCAAAAAAGGTATTTGAGATGAAAAAATCATTTGTCTTGCAAAATTCTAATATGTAATCTCGTTTTTTTTCTATCACTAAGACTATATTTTCCGACTATTTCTTTTTGTCTCTGACCTTCACATTCCAATCATTTATAATTGTCAATTCAATCTTGATTGCATGTTTGATCAATTTCATATCGAACACATTCATGGAATTCTTCAATTCCTGCATCACTAGCTTTAGTGATTGATCCATCAACTGGAATAATAATTGTATTGACTGGATTTCCTTGTGTGCAGATAGATATTATGTGATCACAGGTAGCATTATACTTCAAGATGGATCCTGAAATGTCCTTTTGACAATGAATGTGAATCTATTCCTCTTGAATTTGTCATTACTAACATAGTAAATTATATGATTATCTAATCAAAATGTTCAACAACAGTCTATTTTATGGATCTTTGTTACATTTTTAATGACTTCCAATTTTCCTAGATTCATACTTCATACATTCCAAGTTCCAATTATTAATAAATGTTTACAACTTTCCTTCTCAATCTGAATTGTGTCCCACCAGCAAATGAATGTCCCCAAAGCTTTACTCCATCCACATCATTTATAGGCAACTCTACTTTGAGAAGGCAGTTCTTCCTCAGTGATATTTTGAGTACCTTTCACTCTAGGGAGCCCATCTTCTGGCACTATCTCTGACAATGTTCCACTGCTATTCATAAGGTTTCTAATATATGACATGTTCCACTACTATTCATAAAGTGTTCAGTAACTAATTCCTCAGAAGTGAACAACCTACTTCCTTCTTCATAGTCTTTTCTTACTCTGGAAGGTCTGCTGAAACCTGTTCACCCTGGAGTGATCCTACTGGCATTTAAAATACCAGTGCCATAGCTTTCAGCACCATGCAAGCCATCACAGTACAACCAACAAACAGACAAGTGGTGGCATAAACGGCTGTGCACAAGACCATTAAACCACAGACCTTGCTCTCAAAAATTAATAGCCTAGTTGTAAAGAGAATGTTAACAAGCTCTCAAGGCACTAAGATAGAGACTAGACAGTAAGAGATATGAGGCAGTCCATGCCCTGAGGAGCTTACACCAAACCAGGATGCTTTAACATGAACACACATATTGTTCTAAAATGTTCCTAATCTGTTGTGAACCATGTCACATTTTTCATTTTATCAAAGATCCTGCTTGCATGGCTGACATCTCTCTCTCTCCCAACCCCACAGCACCTTCCTACAGAATCAAAGCCTCTTTTCCAATTTACAATTCCTGATAGGCACAGAGTACCCATTAAGCAAGATAAGCTCCCTTGCAGTCACATTCTTAAGAGAAGACAAGACTTGCAAGACAACAGGTAAATGTTATTATAAACATGAATTATGTACTACAAAAAATCTGAGACAGACCCGGGAGGTGGGGTTGGGGATGAGTAGGAACTGCTTAAGACCAGGAAGAATGCCACAAGATATCTTTCTTAATCTGAAATCTGTTCAAGGAAGAATTCATTGGGACAAGAGTGAGGAGAAACGGGAGACAGGAAGAATGCCACAAGATATCTTTCTTAATCTGAAATCTGTTCAAGGAAGAATTCATTGGGACAAGAGTGAGGAGAAACGGGAGACAGAGGCAAGAGTATGACAAAGGCATTGTGATGTGAGAGAATAAAGCTTCTCACCCATTGCCATCAAGTCAATGCTGACTCATAGAGGCGTCCTGTGGGTTTCAAAGACCTAACTGTTTACAGAAATAGAAAGTCCAGTCTTTCTTCCTGAGGCCCTGCTAGTGGTTTCGAACTGCCAACCCATTATTATTGCAGCTCAACATGTAACCACTACAATACCAGGCCTCCTAAGTAATGCTTAAGAGGCATAATTTAGAATGGAAGAAAGTACAGGATGTCAGAGGCTTTTATTGTACAGCACTGTAACTAGTGGTATCTTCTTGGATAAGACTCTGCTTCAACTAGGTTCAGAATCCTGATTGTAACTACTATATTTTTAAACCTGTGTAATACTTCCATAAGGAATTAGTTTCCTTTATGTGTGCTATGCATGTTATATGAATATGCATGTTAAAAATATGGTGCTCTCTCTTGGTCTCCAGTTTCTTCTCTAAAGTAATGCATTCTCCAAATAGCTGTCTGTTATCTTTCTAAAACAAGTTTTCCCTGCCTCAATCTGCTTCTAAAACCTTCACTCTGCTTCTGTGAAGTGTGACCAAAAAAATTATCTGAAAACAGGGAGGTGTGATGGGTACACAGCATGAAGATAATGTCACTAAATTGTACTTGTAAAAACTGTGTGAGATGACAAGCGCTTCGTGAAAAATGAAGACTTGTATATGTATGTACACAGTATTTAAAAGAAAAAAGCCTTTAAAGACACACATACAAATCTTGACTCTTCACGACGCAGTCATAAGTATAACAATTCATCTCCTGGCCTAACCTAAATGACGAGAGTCTGCTATGCCATTCACGTACCATTCCGTCTGGCAATGCCAAACCACTTGGCTGTTTCCAGAAAATGCTCAGCAAACGGTTTAGAAAGGCCCAGCTCCCACTTGTCTTTGAAAGAGTTCACTCTAGTGCTCTCGGCATTCCTCCAGCCTGCCGCGGCTGGCTCCCCACCCCAACTTGCAAATTACTCGCCTCTGGTTTCCATGGCAACTTACAAGTCCTTCCACTACAACACGAAAGTTGAATGGGTTCCCGCGTCTATTATCCCCGCGGAAAAATCGGAAGACCCGGGAACACAGGGCGCTCAACCTCCGCTTAGAGCTCGATGGACGTCTTGCCCACAACCACCTGCTTCCCATCAACGCGGACACACCAAGTGAGACTTGTCACGGCACACAGCGAGGGCTCTACGGCCTAGATGTGCGACGTGCTCGCCTACGTCGCTCAGGCTCGCGCGCGCACACTCGCCCGCACACACATACGCGTCCCCAAAGGCACTCCAAGACCACAAGCTTCCGTCACCAGACGGGCCAACGCAAAAACAGGAGAGGCGCTCCTAAAACCCAAACGAATTCCCCTCAAACTTTCGCAGGCTCGGCTCGCTTCTCAGCAGCCGTCGTCGCAGGCACCGAAAGCCGAGGCGCGACGATGCTGCGGCCTGGGAAGAGTCGGGGAAGTGGAGGGATAAGATGGGGGAGCCGGCGGGAGGAGCGCGGGCCGGGCCTCACCGCGCGGCCGCTCCTCAGTGTACAAGTCGATGACGACGTCGCCCAGGGTGGTCTCCAGAAGAACCGCCATGGCGCCGGCTCCACCTCAGCCACAAGCCCCGAGGGTGACAGCGGCAGCCCAGAGACGCCGACGGCAACGTCACTCTAGGCGCGACGTCTTTACGTCATCCCCCAGCGACACCGCCCCTTCCGGCGGCTCCTTCGGACCGGCAGGCACGCCGCCGTTTCCCCACCCCGCCGTTGACGTCGGGCCGCCCGGCCCGCCCCCGGCGCCGCCTCTTTAAAGCGGCAGGGCGTCCCGTCGCAGCTTGTGCAGGAATCGATCACTATTTGGGGTATTCCCTTGGGACTTCCTTGCTCCGCTCCCCTTGCTGTTCTGTTGCACGCCCCTAGTGTTTTGCCTCGGTGTGGTGGGGTCAGATCAAGCGCAATTCCCACACTGTGTCTCCAGTGTTGTCCCCTGTAGGGCTGTGGGTCAGTGAGGGATGTCTCACAGTGGGGCCGGCCATGTGGTCTTCTCTGTGCATTGGCTGCTCTGAACAGGGATGTCGTCCTCGAGGCTTGGTGGGCCACATTGTGCTCGACATGGATCTACATAGAACAACAGAAAAGTGGGTGAAGGGAGAGGTCGGACAGCGTAAGACTTGACAAAATAATAATTATAAATTATCAAAGGTTTGTAAGGGAGGGGGCAGGGAGGGAGGGGGAAAACAAGGATCTGATACCAAGGGCCCAAGTAGAAAGCAAATGTTTTGAGAATGATGATGGCAACAAATGTACAAATATTCTTGACCCAATGGATGGTTGTATGGATTTTGATAAGAGTTGTATGAGCCCCCAGTAATATGATTTTTTAAAAGAATTTTTTCCACCTCCTCCCCCCCCCAAAAAGGAAAGAAATAAGTCACTTATATGCTCCTTATGGCAGCCCTCTCCGGAGTTTTTATCCATCATATCGACGTGAGGCCCCAAGCTCACAGTCTTGGGTTAGTTAACAGGGAGTGCTTTCCTAATAAATTGCTCCTAGGAACTATACCACAACAGCAACAGGTGGTGAGGTCCAGAGGTAAGCAGCAAGCTTACCAAAAAATAGACCCAAGTCTCAAACGTCTACTGGTTGATAAACAAACTACTTTTGTTTATCAAGGGCAGGAGCGTTCACAGGGATGGGGAAATCAAATGATTGAGGGTGGGGTTGCTGTCGATAAGTTGTATACCTGTTAAAAGGTGAATTTGCAAAAGTTGTATGATAGCTATAACAACAACAACAAAAGTGTAGCTGCTCTTAGGATTTGGTTCCATGGTTTGGAAATTTACAGTCACAGTTCTGTGGGGCATCTCAGTTAATTGTTGTAATAGCATATTTGATGCTTTTGTTTATACCTCCACGTGGGTTGCACTGTGATACCCGGGGTCTTAAAAGCTTACAGGTGCCATGCAAGACTCAATTGGTCTGTATTCACCTGGAGCAACAGAAATGAGGAGAGTCAAGCGGAGGAGGAGGGTATGGACTGTGTGGCTACTTCCTCCATCAATAACTACCATAAAACCAGAACTGGATGGTGTCTGGCTGCCGTTACTGCACACTTTGATAAGAGATGCCATAGAAGAATCCTGATCAAAAAGAGGAGCATGCAGAACAGAATTCCAAATTGTCATGTACTCTAGACCTTGAAAACATTATTTACTGGTCAAAGATTGTTCTTCTGGATACAGTACTTAAAATCATTAATGACTTTTCATATCTGACCAAAAGTCAAAGTCTTTATAATGGGTTACCGGACCCTATGTGATCCGCTCCCATGCCATCTTGTCATCTCTTACTCTCCTGTAGCCTAGGGGCTTTTGTGTTTGCTGCTCCTTCTGGTCTTACCCCAGTATTTACATAGCTCTTTCATCTCCTTCAAGGAACTCTGGTGGCAGCTTGGGCAGTTCAAAACCACCAGCTACTTCATGACAGAAAGATGAGGCTTTCTCCTCCCTGTAGATTTACAGTCTCAGAAACCCAAAGGAGGAGTTCTCTGAGTCAGAAATAACTCAGTAGCAATTAGTTTGGGTCCATCAAGGCCTCTTCAGCCTTCCCTGATGACCCTGGTGAACATGAACTCCACATGTACGCATCTAATTTTCTCTAAACAGATTTCTTTCTGATCTACTTCTACCCTTTAATATGTGATAAATATATTGTATTTCCCTATTGTTAATCTAAACTCCAAAGGGTAGAAACCATTCTGTCTACTTTCTTAACTGTCATATCTCTGGTACCTGTAATAGCCTTGCACAAAGTAAGTCAATAAATGTATGATGAGTGAAGGAATCAAAGAAATGCCATTCTCACCTTTCACATTGGTGAAGGTCAAACAATATACAGTGTTGATAGCGTGTGAAGGGAAAAAAACTATATATATATTATTGGTGGGAACTGAAATTAATGGAATATCTTTGAAGGGAAATTAGCAATGGTTACCAAAAGGAAAATCAACATACTCATTGTCTCAACCATTTAATTTCTAGGCATTTATTCCGCAGATTTATTTGCAGAAAAATGCATAATTGAACTTATCCATTCCAAGAAACAAGAGTTATCAGATTATCCTACTTATATAAATGGAAAAACATATACGCAAATAATGGACATGTGTCTATGATGCTCACCTTCCCAACACAACCGCTGAAGAAAAAGCGGGTGAATAAGCATATGTGGTGAAGAAAGCTGATGGTGCCCAGCTATCAAAAGATATAGCGTCTGGGGTCTTAAAAGCTTGAAGGTAAACAAGCAGCCATCTAGCTCAGAAGCAACAAAGCCCTCATGGATAAAGCACACCAGCCTGTGCAATCACCAGGGTGTCAAAGGGCTCAGGTATCAAGCATCATCAGAACAAAAAAATCTTAACATAGTGAATGAGGTGGGAGTGCAGAGTGGAGACGCAAAGCCCATTTGTAGGCCACTGGAGATCCCCTTGCAGAGGGGTCTTGGGGAGGAGACAAGCCAGTCAGGGTGCGATGTAGCAACGATGAAAAATACAACTTTCCTCTAGTTCCTAAATCCTTCGCCCCCCATTTCCCCCACCATCAGGATCCGAATTCTACCTTGCAAGTCTGGCTAGACCAGAGGATGTACTGTACACTGGTACGGATAAGAACTGGAGGCGGCAGCGGCGGCAAACCCGCGGGAAGCGCTGGTCTGTGCCGCTCCCCCTCCCGCCCTCCCTCTCTCGCAACCACGACAACAGCCGGAGGCCGGCTCAGGAGCTTGGAACTGAGAACCAAAACAAGATTCGCTGCTTAATACTGAAGACAGCGCGCTAACGGGGCCACGGAAGAAAGGTGTTAAAAGGTGGCTCATGAATAATGAAATCCCGGAGGAAACAATAGCAGATGAAGCGAAGGACTATATGAATCAACTTTCACATGAAGTGCTTTGCCGTATCTTCAGGTACCTCCCTCTGCAGGATATCCTGTGCATGGAATGTCTCTCCCGAAAGCTGAAGGAAGCAGTGACCCTCTATCTGAGAGTTGTGCGAGTTGTGGATCTTTGTGCAGGGCGGTGGTGGGAATACATGTCAAGTGGCTTCACAGATCCTCACAGATTCTTCACAGTTTTCTCACGCTGCTGAAGAAGATGCCAGACGTTGAACAGCTTTATGGCCTTCACCCAAGATACTTTGAGAGGCCCAGAGTGCGGGCCACGAGGCCTTTAGCATTCCAGGCATCCTGGAAGCTTTGCAGGCCTGCCCAAACATAGTGGGTGTAGAGACCTCGCACTTGGAATTGGTAGAATCGATTTGGACATATATGCCGCATGTTCATATTTTGGGGAAATTTCGTAATCGGAATGGAGCATTTCCAATTCCTCCTGAAAATAAATGGAAAATTCCTATAGGCGCCAAAATTCCAACTCTACATTTAGTAGGAGTGAATGTTCCTGAAATTCCTTGCATCCCAATGCTAAGGCATCTTCATATGAAGTGGGTCCAACTTACTAAACCACCGCCATGTAAAGACTTTCTTTGTATCAGCTTGCGAACTTTTGTCATGAACTGTGCAGGACCCACAAATTCCTTGAAATATGTCCCTTTAGTGACAGACTTGGCCTCTGCCCGAAACTTGGAACATTTAGAAATGGTTCAAGTTCCTTTCCTGGGAGGTCTTATCCAACATGTAGTGGAAGACAGTTGGAGATCAGGTGGTTTTAGAAATTTGCACACTATTGTTTTAGGAGGTTGCAAAAATGCTCTTGAAGTAGATCTTGGTTACCTCATAATCACTGCTGCCCGTAGGTTACATGAAGTTCGGATCCAGCCCTCTCTAACCAAAGACGGTGTCTTTTCCGCCCTAAAGATGGCCGAGTTAGAGTTTCCCCAGTTTGAAAGCCTTCAAATGTAGATGAGCTTTTGCTTCAGAGCAGAATGGCAAATGCAGACCTGGTGAAGTACGGCCTGCCGGATGTGGTGGAAAATCCTGGTATCATCACTGACATAGGAATGAAGGCCATCAATGAGGTTTTTTCCTGTCTCAAATATCTGGCAATCTACAATTGCCCTCATCTACATAACCCATACAATTGGATCTCAGACCATTCCAGGTGGACTCGACTGGTTGATCTCAACCTAGTGCGCTGCCATGCGTTGAAGTTGGACTCGTTTGGCCAGTTCATTGAATTGCTGCCCAGCCTGGAGTTTATTTCACTGGATCAGATGTTTCAGGAGCCACCCAAGGGCCGTGCTCGAGTTGGTCTGAGTGCCGGCACGGGAATTGGGGTTTCTTCAGCCCTTGTTAGCAACCACAACTCCAATAATGACAACGATAATAATGCCCCGAATAACAATGGCAACATCCATGACAACAATCACCATCACCCCATGATTCCGGCGAGGAGAACGACTTTCGGAGAGACCTGCAGCCAGGAGAGCAGCAGTTTGCAGCCGACGCTGAATGAGATGGAAGACATGGTGCAAGAAGATGGGGAGGTGGTAGCGGAGAGTGGCAATGAGGCTCCAGCTCACAATCAGGCAGTTATTCCTGTGGATGTTGACGAGGAACAAGCAGGACGCAGTGGTCTTCAGCGTGTAGTAAAACCAACCGCAATTACCGTCCATGACTCAGAGAGTGATGAGGAAGACAGACTAGAACTCCAGGAAGTCTGGGTTCCTAAGAATGGCGCTCGACGTTACTCTGAGCACGAAGAGAAAATCGGAGAGTCAGTGCAGTCCAGGGAGTTGTCAGTAAGTGGAAAAGGCAAGACTCCACTTCGAAAGAGGTACAACTCCCGTCAAATGGGCCAGTCGAAGCAGTTTCCCCTCGAGGAAAGCAGCTGTGAGAAAGGCTGTCGGGTCACCAGTGAGCAGATCAAAGCCGATATGAAAGCAGCTAGGGATATTCCTGAAAAGAAAAAAATCAAGGATGTTTATCCCAGCTGCAGCAGCACCACGGCCAGCACAGTGGGAAACTCCGGCTCCCGCAGCACTGCTGCTCAAAGCCCCGGCTTTGTAAGGACGGTGAACAGCGGCGGCTCTCCCGAGCCTAGCCCTACAGAAGTGGATGTGTCCAGGCAGTGTGTCTGCTCCCCCGGTGGGTCAGAGGACTCTGAGGCCATGGAGGAGGGAGATGCAGAGAGCTCTGTCTGCCCCAGATGCTGCTGTCACAGGCCCCAGGAATCCCAAAGGAGAACTAGCAGGTGTTCTGATGAGGAACATCCTTCAACCAGCCGAGCCTGTGTTGTGAATGGCCCGGATGAGGTTGCCAAAACAAAACCGCGCCATGCCATGAAGCGGAAGCGAGCAGCAGATAAATCCACCAGCACCAGCGATCCCGTGATTGAGGATGACCATGTGCAGGTCCTTGTATTAAAATCCAAAAATCTTGTTGGAGTCACTATGACCAACTGTGGAATCACAGATCTCGTGCTAAAAGACTGTCCCCAGATGATGTTTATACATGCTACCAGGTGCAGGGTACTGAAACATTTAAAAGGAGAAAATGCACCAATTGTAAATCGATTTGACTATGCACAATGCAAAAACTGAATATGGATCAGGTGCTAGACCAGATACTGAGGATGCTTCTGGAGAGAAACCGTATCATATACCTACGCCCGATGCAGCAGGGGGACACGTTGACTCTGGAGCAGAAGCTCTTCAGTGGTCCTTACCCCTATCACATCTGCATTATCCATGAATTCAGTAACCCTCCCAATGTCCGGAACAAGGTGTGCATTCGCAGCTGGATGGACACGATTGCGAACATCAACCAAGAACTTAATAAGTATGAATTCTTTCCTGAAGCCACTCGAACTGAGGAAGACTTAAAAAAGTATCCTAAGTACCCCTGGGGAAGAGAAATCTATACATTAGAAGGAGTGGTGGATGGAGCCCCATATTCCATGATTTCTGACTTCCCTTGGCTCAGGTCACTGCGGGCAGCAGAACCTAACAGCTTCGCACGCTAGCGTTTTGAAGATGATGAAGAAAACACCATCTACGCTCCTCAGAGGAAAGGGCCGTTGTCTGCAGACATCTGTATGGAAACAATAGGGGAGGAGATCGCCGAGATGCGCCAGATAAAGAAGGGTGTGTTTCAGCGAGTCCTGGCAATTTTCATTCACTACTGCGATGTCCACGGAGAGCCAGTTGAAGATGACTACATTTGATTGGCACCTTCCCCTGCCCAGCTGTTCCTGCTGAAAGCTGCTCCACCTGCGAGAGCGGGTCGCAGAGGCTCAGACGTGCACTTTGGCTCACCTTGGTGTAGAGGAAATGTAGAAGGAACGTTGAAATTGTGTACAGAGATTTGTAAATAGAGGAAATATACAAAAAACAAAATAGATGCTTCCTAAAGTACCAACTTTATATCATATGTTTATACAACTTAATTTAAAAATTCACCTAATGAAGGCAGATAATGTGAAAGAGTTCGTTTTGTTTGTTTTTCTTAGTTCATTTCGGCTGACTCCCACTTACTATATTCTTAATAATCACCGTCATCCCCTTGAACCTGTGCCTTTTTCTTGTCCAGTGAAGGTATGTGAGTGAATCTGTTGAGGAGTATGTCTGACGTGCTTTATTTTTTCTGTTACTATTAAAACACCAGCTAAACTTTGTAGTCAGAGGAGCCTATGTGTTTCTGTACAGAATAGTGATTGTTTTTTTAAGTATTAACATTTGCCATGTTTCTCAAAATCAAGTAAAATGTTTCACAAACTAAAAGAAATGAGTATAATTGGGAAATGAAAACGTTTCCAGAGTATTTAGTTATTTATTTCCACATTCAACTGTGTATCTGCTTTAACTTGAGTATAAAAATAAAAGTTTATTAAAAACGTTAAAAAAAAAAAAAAAAGAACTGGAAACAGGGAATCCAGGTTGGATGCTCCCTTCAGGACCAGCAGTGTGAGTGGCGATACTGGGAGTGTAGAAGGAGAGTGGGTTGGAAAGGGGGAACCGATTACAAGGATCTACATGTGACCTCCTCCCTGGGGGATGGACAACAGAAAAGTGGGTGAAGGGAGACGTCGGACAGGGCAAGATATGACAAATAATAATGTATAAATTATCAAGGGCTCCTGAGGGAGGGGGAAAATGAGGAGCTTAAGTGGAGAGCATTGTATGAGCCCCTAATAAAATGTTAAAAAAGAAAAGAAAAAATAAATAAATAAAAATAAAGAACTAGGAAAAAAAAAAAGTGGAGAGCAAATGTTTTGAGAATGATGAGGGCAATGAATGTACAAATGTGCTTTACACAATTGATGTATGTATGGATTGTGATAATAGTTGTATGACCCCCTAATAAAATGATTAAAAGAAATAATGGACATGTGTATACCTGGATGATTGATGATGAATATCCAAAACACTGACCCACCCACTGTCACTGAGTTGATTCCAACTCACAGTAACCCTATATAGACTCTTTAAGGACAAGATAGCCTCATCTTTCTCCCCAAGAGTAGCAGATGGCTTTGTACTACCAACCTTGCAGTTAGTAGCCCAAGCAATGCCTACGCCACGGTGCCATCAGAGCTCCTTATTTGAGATAAGAGAAGCTTCAGCTCTTAACCTCTGCTGTGCAAACAGGGATTTAATCTAAGCACATGGTCCTTTGTACTTAAACAGTCTACTATTTTTTATACTTCTAAATAAATCACATTTTTTTAAAATGAAATTTTATTCATGGCAACCAAGTACTCATATCCATTGCAATATCCTTGTCTCCATGAAGTATAAATGTTCGGCTTTTGCTATCTTAGAAAATGTACAAATGTGTTTTTAAGTGGTGGTAAATTGGTACTCAGCACTTTCAGTAAATGTAAACACAATGCAGGTTTCTTCTGATAAAAGGAGAAGAAACCCAGGAACAGCAAAAGCTGGCTTGACATCAGCTAGGCCTTGGTTTTGCTAGGAGTTCGCCTGGTATGCATAGCTAGTGTTTTGTTTTTTGAGAGTTTTAGATAGATAGATAGATAGATAGATAGATAGATAGATAGATAGATAGATAGTGTTTTGTGTTCTGTTGAACATGTACATTTCTACAGAACATTAGCACAAGACCTCATTGTGACTGTGATGAATTAAGTTATAAATATTACCTCCAAGCAGAATCACAAGAAGCATAAAAAGTTTACGAAGCATTATATCATCTTAGACTAGGGCAGTTCAAAATGGAAAGAACACTAATCCCTCACCTTTCTCGAACCAAATCCTTGCCATCACCATCAAGTCCATTGTGATTCATAGTGATCCTATAGGAAGAGTAGAACTGACCCTGTGGGTTTCTGAGATTGTAATTTTTTATGGGAGTAGAAAGCCAAGTCTTTCTCCTAGCGAGTGACTGGTGAATGGGTTTGAACTGCTGACCTTGTGGTTATCAACATGTAACTACACAAACAAATAGTTGGCGTACTTTTTTATTAAAAAAAGGAGAATATTTCAGAGAGTTGAATCCAAAGCCAAGAGGGCAGAGGCAAGATCTATGGAGCGTAATGGATTATAGAACTTCTCCCAGGAAACAGAAGACTCTGTCTCTAAAAGAGTAGGATCTGGCAATGTAGACCCAGCTGGGCCTTAAAACTGCTATGAAATTTGCTTTGGTGATAGAAACATAGCAGGAGATCACAAGTTAGAATTTAGCAAGGCCAACAACTTCATTGCAAATACCATTTTTCAGCAACATAAACAGCAACTCTACAATTAAAAATTTAAGCAAACTGATGAAGCACTAGAAGCATTCACTCACTTATTCCAAGAGATCTAGAAGGCAGCTATATGGCCAACTGACTGGGAGTGATTCGTATTTGTATCCATTGCAAAGAACGATGACCCAACAGGTTGCAGAAATTATTGAACAAGATCATTAATGTCACATGCATGTAAAATTTTGCTGGAGATAATTCAACAAGGCTCCAGGCATTGAAGGAATACCAATTGAAATGTTTTAACAGGCTGATGTAGGTGCTCATAGAAGTAGCAGTCAAAAAATCAAATGAAAATGAAGGCAGGAGGGGTAGAGGGAGCACTAGAACTGATTGTGATTGCACAACTCATTTTAAAAGCAATTTAACCACGGGAGATGAGTGTTCTAAAAGTGATGCGTTAATGGTTGTACAATTCACCTTGATATGATTGAGCAATTGAACTATTGGATATGTGCCAATAAAAGTGGTTTTAAAAAAACAGAATTAGAATAAGAGAAAAGTAAACTTGGTGCCTCCCTGTTTAAAAAATACCTTTGAACGTAAAATATGAGTTTTTGTAAAAATAAAAGTATTGATAAAACCACCCCAAAACATCAAATGAAATATTTCATCAGGCAAATCTGCTGCATAAAACCTCCTTAAGGTGTTTAACAACAAGAATGTCACTTTGAAGACTAAGGTGCCCCTGATCCTAGCCATGGTATTTCAGTCCCCTTATATGCATCTAATGAGAGGAAGTTGAGGCTTGGATTTACCCTCATAAGGATTTAATCTTGGAATGCCACAGGGGAAATTCTACAGTGTCCTATAGGGTCACGATGAGTAGAAATCAACTCAATGGCAGTTAGTATATGCATGTGAAAGCTGGGACAATAAATAAAGAAGACAAGTAGAATTGATGTATTTAAATTATGGTGTTGGCAAAGAATAGTCAAAGTACTGTGGACTGCCAGAGGAGAAAGCCAACCTATCTTGGAAGAAGTACAGTCAGTATGTTAGGGTTCTCTAGAGAAACAAAACCAGGACACTTAGGATTTTATATATATTTATATAGATATGTATATACAACATACGAAATAAACAGCTATCAGTCTATAGAGCAGTACAAATGTCTCAGTGCAACTCACTACTGTGAGACAGCTAATACACTGGCAGTCCTTCAAGTCTTGAGGGCCTCCGGTACAAGTCAAGGAAGCAGATAGCTGAGTCCTCTGTAGAGCAATTCAGGCAATCTAGCCACAGACAGCAAACAGCAAGGCAGGTCACCAACAGTCAGCCAGATGACAGGGTCTGACAGTCCCCAGCTCAAGCGATGTATACTCCAGTAGCGTGGCGAAGCAGGTCTTGAAGGAACCTCAAACTACAGTGACACAGTCCACGGGTTAAGTGGCCCACAGGTAGTCAACTAGCTTGCAAGTTGAGGCAGCGAACCAGCAAAGACAGCCCCACACTGGTCTGATCATCAGAGAGCAAGAGACAGAAAGGCGAGGACCGCCGAGCCATTTATCTCTCTGCCCTTTAGATAATCCCACATGTGTTCAATGACCAGGATGGCACAATGAACCTACCTATCTATCACAGTCAGAATTCTCCTTACATGCAAGGATAAGGAGATGTCATCTTATGTGCTTAGCTTATCAGGTACCAGACTAAAGTTTTTTCTGACTCCTAGTTCTGACAACCCCAGAAGAAACAGGTCAGGCTACCAGCTTATGAGGCTATAGGAGCTGACCACAAAATGTGCAGGTCAGACTGCAAGCTGGTAGCTCATATCCCAAGAATCAGGATCAGCGGGGTACAGTGGGATGGGAGGGGTAAAGGGGAATTGATATCAAGGAGTTGAGAAAGGAAGAGAGTGTTTTGAAACTGATTGTCTTAGCAATTGTACAATATTGATTGATGTGATTGAACTATGGAATGATATGGTATATGAATTAGCTCCCGATAAAATGGTTTTTTTGGGGGGGAAAAAAGAATCAGGCTCAGAGAAGGATGAGTTGGATGTAGGATCAAGAGAAAACTGGAGTTTTTGCAGAATAATCATATATATTGCATGCAGGGCACACCTCCCAGGAAACCCCCTTCTGAAGTGATTGGCTCCTCACCTAAGGTCACATCAGATCGCCACTGCCACTGAGAACCATGACTCAGTGGCGTTGACATATACCCTAGCCATCACTGCTGGGGAGAGAGGTGCTGCATCTTGGCCCTGAAATCTCTCTGTCCCAATACTGTTGCGAGGGGGCTTAGAATGGGCGAAAAAATCTTCCCTACTTTCGCTTTGGGACATTTCTCTCCACCTTGCTTATGTTTTTATTCTATTTTATTTTTAACTTTTAGTTGTGAGTTAGGTAGATGTGTACAGAGCAGACCATCCATTGGACATTCGATAAGTCCTACTCATTTTGTCTCAGGTCCTCCATTGCCATGCCCGCGGCGCCCATCACTGATCGCACCGTCTCCTGGTGCTTCCTTTTCCTTTCCTCCTTCTCTCCCAACCCTCTGAATGTTGTCCTTGGGTAAATGCTGCTCGT